CTTAAATCTGAAATTCTTCTCCAAAAAATTCGCGATGTGTTTGTATTTTTCAGCTAACATTTGTAAATTTTTAAGCTATGGGAATAGTAAAATATCAACAAAAATTGGATCCTAGGGAAAAGTTGCCGTCGCCCCACCCGCGATACTGCAAAAGAACCGTTTTACCGAAAACCGGAACCGGAAAGCTAACTTAACGCAGAATATTGGCGGAAACATGTAAGATCGAGAATGTAACGACGGGTCCATCCGCGTGAACAAAACAGCGGTACCCGTCCGGCTTACAAGGGCATCAACGGGATCTATTTCTGAAGAGAAAAGGCGTCACTCTGCGGGCCACCGGAAATTCGAAAAAGGCAACACCTCCCACTGACGCGGCCCGGCATTTACACCAGAACACCGTCGATCCCAGATTATTATTCCACCAGACAAGTGCCGGGGATTTTCTTGAAGTGGGGAAAAGTACGAGAGAAATGCTGAGTTTGGCCAGAGCCGGTCGCGCCGGTCGGAAAATGACAAATTAAAAAAAGTTCGATTCCTGCCCGAATAAAATCTAAAATATATTTTTATAGTGTTTTTAGTAGTTTTTGATTCCTAAAAAGTTATCAAAAATCTGGGAATTTGGAATGTTTTAATCTTTTTTTGGACATTTTCATACATTTTCCAATAAAAAGTCACCAATTTTCGGGACTTCTATATGGTTTTCATATATAAAAGCTGTGTAAATGCCATAAAAATGGTCTATATTTCGTTATAGAGTCGTACGGGATTATTGTGGAACCGCTAAGTCCCCCTCGCTAACAGCCGAGTACCGAAAAAGATGGAAGGGGCAAAGCATTTTCCAAAAAAAAACGAAGAAAAGAATGCCGATAGAATACTCAAAATGAAGAAAATATCGGAAATACGGACGAAAAGAAATTGAGGTAAATAGGCTAGGTTCAATTTTAGGCCCCGGCACGTCATCAAATAAACCCCAATTCCGCGTCCATCTAGCAGCCAATTGTTGCACCCACGCCCAACAACAAAAAAACTGGCATCCTGGTGGCTGGCTATAAATGTTTAATGAAAGCCCTCCAAATTTGGTGGACATTTTCACGTCCGGAAGTATCGGAAATTTAGCGGAACTGCCGGCGCTCTTATCGACGAATGTCGGCCGCTAACATCTAGGCATAGACACTAAATTGGGCTTTGCAAAGGCCAATTTTTGAAGCTGATACCCGGGACGAGGGAACGCGCGTTGGCGTTACGCCAAAGGTCCGGACGCCCCAAAATTTTCCGGACCTTCATTCAGGGTCCAAACCGGCTGGGGAAGACCCGTTTTGGGGGGAGGGGGCTCTATGAATTTGTCATAGCTCGCTTCATCAGAGACAATACCAATGGGGCGACATTCCCCCAAAATGCATTGGTGAGTTGCGGAAGTGGCGCGATCATTTTCCTAAGAGATGCCTGAAATTAAACAAATTGGGTTCTGGTCCGTTATCGGGGGGGGAGGATTGCAGGCTAAAATCATTCAAATCTGGATAACCGATGATTCTTGGTCAAAAAAAGTATCAAAATCGCTAATTGACCGGCTTAAAATTTCGGAAGTTACTTTAGGACTTTTTAGTAATCGAAAACTATTAAGATGACGCTAAAAATTTGCCAATTCAGATAGTCCCCCCGCTAACAGCCCAGAACCTGGATTTTTTGGCCCTAAAGATATTTATTTATTATTTATTTACCAGGGTTGAAAAGCCGCTTCGCGACTTTTCAACCCTGGCCCCGTCTTGGACCGCATGCTGTTCTACGCTCTGCATAATTGCGCTGAATTCCGATGTCAAAAATGAAAATAATTCGCTACTGACCCTTTATATAGGCGACTACCCACTTCCGGTCAATGCTAATTTGTTCCTAGCGGAGAGGGTTTTACAAAAACTTAAATTTGATATCGAAAATGGCTGATTTTTATAAATCTGATATGTGGGCAGTCATCCCTAGACCATTAAGCACCTAATGACATATCGTACTCACCACTAACTTCTTCCCCTATGGAGATACTACTGGAACAACGATACGGAAGTGGATGCAAAGTGGCACACACACACACACACACAGACACTATTTTTTTATATATAGTAGGATCATGCGCGTGGAGCGCCGTTGGCAAGCAACGTATAAGAATCAGTATAAGAATCACAGATTTGTAAAATATGTAGATCGGTATTTGGGACGCGTAAAAATTCCAAAAAAGAACCCATTTAAAACTCAGAATAAAAACGCTCACAAGGTCGTTGATGTTCAACCAGCAAGTGGTGCATGGCAAAACACGCTTTTTTTTTTGGTGGACCCAAGCAACCGTGGGTAAGGAGGCGCGTAAGGCGGAGGCCACAAAAAGCGCTCATCCATAGCGGCCACCCAGAAATCAGCGTCGTTGGAGCAAGTGGCCCTTTCAGAACCGGGAACTTGTTGTTCACATAGAAATTAACGGATTGGATGGACCCGCGCGCCTCGGGCTTCATTTCACTTTGACATGACGCCGTTTAGGGCAGACGCGATTTACGAATAAAAAGTGCGACATGAAAAAGAATTTTTGCACCCGCGACAAAGATCATGGGATGTTCTTTGAGTAGTTCGCATTATCACAGCTATTCCATTGAATATTCCACCTTTCTGTCAGTCACTGTCAAAAATTCATGAGCCAAAGACAGGATGTCTGCTCGCGCTTTGCACTTCAATTAAGTCCCGTCCAAAAGTCGGAAGTTGAATATTTCTGGATTCGGCCAAATTAGCTGAAAGTCCCGAGCTAATTAGCGATGGCTGATTTCGGTTCCAGGAATAACCGGGGTATCGAGAGTCCATAAGAACGGGGAAATCATAATTTAAGGGGCGCTTCTACCCATTTGGAGCTATTGATGTTGGGGGCGGGCATCTTTTTTTTGGAGTTTTTTTCCCGTCTAAGCTTGTCTCCAAGTCTAAGCTAACCAAGCCAAGCCCAGCCTAAGCGTAACCCACACCAAGCCTAGGCTAATTCTAGAACAAGGCTAAGCTAGGGCTGCGCCAAGCATAAGCTAGACCGAGAGTAAGCCTAAACTAAGCCTAAGCTAAGCCAAAACCAAGCCTAAGTTAAGCCCAAGCCCAAGCCTGAGCCAAGCCAAGGTATCAACTTCTCGGCGCGTGGAAAGATGAATGACCAATTACCATGAAATGAGACGCTGTTGTTTTCCAGGGTGGCATCCGACAGCTCAAATTTCGATGTGGTGGCCCCGACTCTTCGGACCGTCTGGATGAAGGTGTTTAGGGGGCCGCATCAAAGACGCATTGCATTAACCATTTCTGATGTAGATAAGATGCCTTTGTGTGTGTATTTCAGAAGCCATATGACTTTTTTGGGTGACTGAGTAGACTTTTATAACCTTTATTCGCAAAAGTTAAAACACATCGCAAATTGAAGGCATTTTTGAGGAGAAAACAAATACGGCTCCCGAGCTTCCACTGGATTACCATCAAAACTACGCTTGGTTGAGCAGTTTAATGCAAACCTAGTAAAAGTAGGGAGGCCGTCTTCGAGCTACCATTCCGCGAATGCTATGTTTGAGTATAACCTAGTCGTTCAGCGACAACTGGACGTATAAAATTTTTCGGAAGGGTAGCTCGGGACGAAGCACAAAGAAAGGCAAAGAGGAGCCCGTTGATGAATGTCAGAAGCCGACAATGATAAGGGGGGTTTCTACACGCGTCAGACTCGGGGGGTTATGGACACCGGTGAGGGAGAGCAACAGGTGTCGGGTGGAAAGCATGACTGATTGCCGGTAGTGAAAGAGAGACGAGGAACGAATTGTACAAAGGAGCACAAAGAGACGACCTCCTGCTGTCTGGCAGAAAATGGGTCGTTCGGACAAGCAGAAGCGCCATCCCTTCGCGCACCTTCAACGGGAAACAACTGAACGACGGCAAAAACGTGGACCCGGGCATTATCAAAATCGTACTTGGAAAGGGCGAATGCGGAAGTAAGTACAACAAGTAATGAGGTTAATAGAGGGTCCACCATTCCATTTCAGAGGCAGTCCAAAATGCCATTTTTGAGCTTTTTACTTTCAGACCCTCAAACCCCCATATAGACAAAATTTGCTGGCCGATTTCAATTTTTGCAGTTCTAAAAAGCAAAAGACGATAAATGAGAACTCGAAACGGTAGACCCTCACAGAAAGACTACAAAAAAACAGGGATCGCTGCTCATTTGACAGTTATCACGCAACCGTCGAAGATGGCAAAGGAGATGACCATATGACGACGGCGCAGACGATAGTCCCAGAGAGAAAGACATACAACTATCTAGCGACGATGTGGGGGACACATGCTGGTCTGCAGGAACGAGGCACTAGAAGACAGGAATCTCAAGGCACATCTAATGGATAAATTGTCACAACACAGCAATGAACAAAAAGTGATGATTTCGAGCCAGACAGAAGCAATGGTTGCCTAGCCGATGCCCGTTCACGGCATGGCGTCAGCCAAGAAGTTACATGCAACAATTGTACATGAAAGGGGGTGAACGACGCAGGCACAGTGAAACACGGAAATATTGCTCATCTGCGCCGTTCGAAAAATGACACCAAACCACAGTCTACACAAGGTGGAATTTGTTGCGCATTTGATTGACTTGATGTGCCGACCGGGCTGGGCGACTACAAAAATACAAACACAGAGAGAGAAGGACAGGGAAGTAAATTACATACAAGAAGAAAAACGATTTAATAAAAAACGAGATATTTTTTAGTATATATGGAGTTTTTTTAATTTTTTTGTGGAATCTAAAAGTGGTGACCTTCAGATTCCTTTTAAAATATTAAAGGTGGGAAATCAATCTACAAGAATAATTAATCAAATGAGATACAAGACGGGTGGGGATGGGGGAAGGGGGAAATGGGGATGCTACCATGCTATGAAAGCCTAATGGGACCAATGGGACGGGGCAGCTAGCGGGGAAAACCGATGGGCAGGCTGGGTCTTGCGGTCGTCGGCTACTTCTTCTGGTAGTGGACGATGGTGGAGCCGGTGCTGGTGAGGTCTTGGCTGGCGTTGATCTTCTTGCACTCGGTGAGCAGTTTGCTCAGGTCGTGCGTCTCGTTGAGTGTCTCGTATGCTTCTTTGAAAGACATCTAAAATCCTGGTTACGGGTAGACAACAATTGTAAAACCTTGATCTCACTGAACACTTCCTCGTTGTAAATCGAATGGGCTGTATTCATGCCGGTGAAAGGCTCCTGAACAAAAAGCGTTGGATCAATTCAGAGAGGTGAGCGCACCTCAATACAGCAGCAACGCCATTGAGACTTCCAATGTGGGTTGACACTGGCCGGGGCACTGACAACTTCCATGCGGCTCACTTTTTTGCCCAAACGAACCGAGATCGCATCCTCGTTGAAGCTGAAAAATGAAAATAAAATAAAAATGAAGTGTTGGGCAATAATCAGAAAACCCCATTGAAAAAAAAACTAACTCAAAGTCATTGGTGTAGTAATTGAAGAAGCCGAGCAGCAGAGCACCCAGCGTTTCCGTGTTTGTCCCATCATCAACGTCCACATTTGGCAGCGGTTGGGAAACATTCAGTGAGCGCACGTCCGCATCATTTCCAAATCGCTTGGGAATTTTCTCTTGTAGCGAAGGAAGTATCACTGGCTTGGCGCCGACTAAAAATCCGTTCTGAAGGGCAAGAAAGTGGCGGTACCTTGCAAGTAGTGAATTGTCATCAGTACGAGCGAATACGAGGTGAAAGACGAGCGACTGGCGTCATTGATGCCCTTTTTCTTGGCCCACTCCTTTACCATCGAGACGAGTGGCCGGACGCGCCAATCGACTAAACAAAGTTATGCTGATGATGGGAATTTGGGCGGCTCTCACAGCTTGAGTAGTAGCAGAGCAAGTGTGTATTCCTGATGGCCACCGAATTGTTCACATTCAGGTCAACGACAATATCGGAATAGGGCGCCGTGAACGTGATCCGCAGGATCGGAACCTAAACAATGGTTGTCGAAAGAAATGCCTGGATACCTTGGCAGAAATCAACGTCTGGGCATTGACCCATTCCACCTTACACAGCGTTTGGAAGACCATGTTCAAAATGACGATGGCATCATGGCGTTGGTCAAGCTGAAAAAATGTTTGACATTTTCATTAGTAAAAACAGACCGCTGTGAAAGAAAAGTAAAAAAGCTTACCTCCTGGTTGGTCACCATAAGGCATATGTCCATGTCCGAAGAGTTGTTGCCAAATCCATTCAGTGACGAGCCGACAACGTACAGGCCGCATACTAGACACTTGACGTTTGGTCCCAAAACGGCTTCTTACATGGGAAAATCGGGCAAATCGCGTAGTACAACAAATCGCGCAGGTAGAGCTTGCGGTTGAGCGTCGTGTCAGTCTGCGCGACGCTGTTGTGGAAATCCCAAATTTCCTCGCTCATCTAAAAAAAGAAAATTGAAGGGATTGTGGCGCAACGACTCACCACATCCAACTTTGATACGTTGTAGCGTCCTTCCTGATCGAGCATCACATTCGGCGGGGACGGACCACGGCTTCGTGATGACCCCAGAGAATGGTCGACAAAGGTGCTGTCAGTCGAGCAGCCTAAAAAAAGAATTAAATTAGTCTTGCGAGATTAATATTTTCCCAGATGCCTAAGCTAGCAACACCCATGAATCTATACCACTTTCTATGCTCTGCCGACGAATATCATCCATTGCCGTGGGTCCAACATTAATAACCGCGAAATACGGTGTAGGGGGTAGGGCGTAAAATCGCAGGCATGGCTCCGCATACACTTGCAATATTTTAGCTTTTTGATGAGCCCGTTCGACGGTCGCAAACCCCATGTCTGTCATCACGACAACAGACTTGGAAGAGGCCTTCGGAACGTCAAAACAGTCATCTTCGTGGAAATACTCGCTGCTCGACGACGCCTCTTCAAATCCCGATGTTTCACTACTATTTGGTGAACAGCTCGACGACTCGCTAGAGTCGGAGGAGGCCCCGCAACTCCTCACAGGGGAGAAGCGCGAAATGAGGCCATACTCGGGGTGGTTCAATAGCCGCCGGGGTACGGCGTTCTTTCGTAGACGCGCCATTTGAACCGTAGGAAGCGCCCATGTGGACACGGGCGGAGGTGCGGTTCCTTCGAAAGTTGGGCGCGTCGGCGGAACCCCGGCTAGATTTGCCAAATATTGCTCGTCCAAATCTTCAAGATATCTCCGTTGCATCGCGCTCTCCAGGGCGACACGTCGGGATCGTCCGATTAACGGGCTCATCGCGGCCCAGCAAGACTACCCGCAGAAAATTAGCACGAGAATAGTAAGAGGCTCAAAATTCGGGGGCACCTAGGGCAGGGAGTGAAGATAAAAATCAGGGTAAAAAGCCCGTATCGGACGGCGAGAGAGAAAAATCGATAGGGGATGCCTGTCGCGTGTGATGGGGGAGAGCGCGGCAGAAAGTGAGGCAGAGAGAGACAAAGGAAGGATCGCGGAACGGGAGGGGAAAAACGCCCGGGCTGCTGGATCCGATCGGCCTAGATGCTTGAGCTTAGCCACCGATCACAATCATGATCCAAAAATAACTACCGGACTTTGGTTTACACCTTATTACTGAAACATAGAAATACTACAGAAGTAATGCAAAAGTTCACCCCTTATCTACAAGTACACCTGTCCCACAGTGCCCAATGTACCAAATTTGATTAACAACTTGCTCAAAAAGCCGGCGCCCCCCCCCCCCCAAGAAAAGTTACCCGGCTTTGAAGTGTCGACATTGGCACGTGGAGCATACTCGTTGAAGCCGTTGTGCCGTTGCTGGTTGAGGCAGTACTGCAGCAGCTGAGGGAGGAGCCTGAAAAAGATATCATTGAAAGGTGCCGAGAAAAGTCCCAAACTTCTCTAAAAAGCCCATATAGGTTTCGATCTGAGTAATCATTTGGGAGAGATGCACGACGGGATGCGGTATGGCCCAATGGTTCGCCCCCGTTGCCAGCCCCGTCGTGTCTTGGAAGCAGCTTTGAGGAATATTACAGCCGGTAGAATCGCGAATAGATTTGTATAGATTGTCAGAGCCCCATCTCCCATCTAGGGTCGTGATCTCATATGTCAATTTCAAACACATTTTTTGTTGTTTCCGGATGGAGACGAGCAAATGTTGAAAGTACAGGTAAACGCGAAGCGCCATGTCCTCGTAAGCCTTTGATTGTTTAGCTTCCGAATCGAAGGTAAGGGTAGCGTTGATAAACTGGAGATGTTCATCAAGAATAGATGGGCTGTTTTTCAGCAAGGAAGAACGCGTCCGCCTCTGCTGCTCCCGTTTCCTGCTTTTCCGGGGCTTATTCGGTCTTTGCGAACCGGTGGTATTTCTGCGCCTTTTTTCAAACCGCCGAATATCTTCCTCATCTGTGCCGATTGGGCTACAGCTCGTTAAATCGGAGGCCGTATGAAAGCTATCATCTTCATAGAAAGCTTCATTTGCGAATCCAGAGTCAATAGACGCTACAGACATGGGGACTGAGAGGGTTCGGGAGAGGGAATACAGAAAGACCTTCAGCTATGTTGATATGGTCGACGGGTTTGATCTGAAATCTTAATCATAATTACAAGACCAGAAGCAGCGAGGAGGGAAAGAGGAACGAAAAGAGCGCACTAAAGATTTTTGCAAAGCCGAGTGGCGATGAGAGAGCATGAGTTCCGTCGGGAGCGAAAATCCCACTATATCCGCTATAGATCACTGGGTAAAAAACGTGAGCCACGACGCAGGAAAGAGTGAATGAGTGAAGGAGATTCCACCCCCCTCCCCCTGCCACTTGTTAAAACAAAGAGAATAGGTGGTGTGGGGGACCTCCTGTGCTTTACGCAGAGCGCTGGTGGCAGCCTGGGGAAAGTGAAATTTGGAGACGCAGACAGACAGCATCAAACAGACGCACAAGCACAAAACGCCCGCCCGGCAGAGCCCACACCCGACCGCTTGGACCCTATTGTCACACCGGCAGCCCGCAGCGAAAAATAAATATAGTCAACAAATGGGCCAAAAAGGGAGCCGAAATTACAGGGCCCGGGCCGGCAGCCGGCAACAGATCCCACTCGGCAGCTGGCAAAGTGCGTTGGGACTATTTGCTACAGTTGCGTAATTCTCAAAACAAACGCAGCTAGGCAAAAAAAACAAAGGGGAGTTATGGCGAATGGCTAGCCAAAAGTGCAAAGTGCAACTTGGACCCAACTAGGATCGAAAAAGTCTAACTAGAGAGCATGGCCGGTTGATAACGGGCCTTTACAGTAAACGAACTGCGTATGGGGAAAATCCAAATTATGCTCAGCCTTGTGTAAAGAATTAGACTAACCACGATCTCCAAGTAACTAGTTCAAAAATGTAAAGCAATTTTTTTCGAAAATGTAAACGATCGCAAAGGCGAAGAAATCTTGGGTAATATCGGCGAATGATGATGAGGGGGGGTGTAGACCTCGCTGTGTTAGAAAGCGCGCTAGTTGGTTGGGGGTGGGCGAAGGGAAAAGAGGAGAAGCCGTGTGGCATGCCTGTGACGCATGAACAGCCGAGTCCGCCGTGCACCAACGCGCAAACGGGTTCGCCTCGAACAACTAAGAGCTGCAGGCCGACGCCAGCTAACTCGCCGCACCCATACCATCTATTCCACCCCGCCCGTCTCCATACGCATTGCAGTCCCCAGGCAAATCGTTGAAATCGACCCCAGAAACACCACAAGTCAGGGACACCGCATTAAAGGGGTCGAGATAAAGCACGGATGCTCAGGCGCAAAGCAGAAAACTCACATATTACTGTTCAAGTTCTGCAACTGCTGCGAGTCCAGTCCAACGCAACGAAGCAGATACTCTGGATTCTCGTTCGTCTGGGCGCGATTGGCCATCAGTTCGATCAGCGCCTGTATCTTGTACTAAAATCAGAAAGATGATCAGGTTAAGAATTGCGTCAACACATCCTGCCACCCACGGCTGGCCGGATGTGTTGACATGACCTCGCCCTAACAATCTGGGGCCAAACTGTACGGTACTAATATACTTGGAAGGGGACTTTGGGGTAATAGTTTTTTGCAACGCCATTCGATAAAGCGTCGAAAAATATACGAAGAGTTTTAATTTGAGCCTACAATAATGTAAAATTCCGGCTGGGGGGGGTAAAGTAAACCGTAGCCGGCTTTGGTCTTTGTTTTTGGGCTACTATTTTTTGCTCCGTTTTTTGTGCCTAGTCTAGTGCGGTATTGGGGAGCACAGAAATATCAATATCTAGCTAAATGAAGTTTAGCAATCCGTAAAGTAAACTAATGGAAGCGACGCTATGTCAAGTAATTATGCCAAGACGCCAATAACGTGAGTAAGCTAAGCCTAGGCCAATCCCAAACAAAAGAAACTAATGACCTAATGACCATCAAACATTTTTCCTTCCCGAAAGTATATTAGGGCTAAAGTGCAGTTTACCTCCCCCCCCAGCCGGCACCCAAATTTTGTATCTCAGCTCCCTGTTCATCTACGGGTGTGTAAAGTATACCAAAATACTCGCCAGAGCAAGACGGACATTTTGGTATACTCTACACACCTGTAGATGCACTCAAGCCTATATTAGTACCGACAGCGCTGACGCCCGTTGTATATTTCGAATGGACACACTGGCCGAGAAATGAAACGGACCAGTCCTTCAGCTCCATGCAGACCCTCGTGCTGTATGTTGTTGTCGGCCGCCTTGGTAGGCTCATCGCGGAACTGGGGCGGCGGCGTCACTCGCTTCATCGGCATTTGTTGGGCTGTAAAAGTGGCAAAAATATAGATGGAAGTGTGGGTGGAAAAAAAAGGCAGAAGGAAGGGACACGAGTATAGGAAATTCATAGGAGGTGATAATCCACCACGATTTCAACGGTTTGGGTTCAAAAGTATTTATAAACACTTATTTTTAAAACACAGACTGATTCAATTCAATTACTGGGTATTTAGTAAAACTCGAGCCCAGAGAGCCCAGGGAGCTCAAGACAGTTTTGCAGTATAAGGTTAGAAAAGTCGTAGTTCGTATTAAATCTTGTAGTAATGCGTTAAAACTAGTATAATAGTCCAAAACGAATGTCTGTGGTACTCTAATCCACCTCCGGAAGCTCCCTGGGCTCGAGCTTTACAAACTGCCCAATTACTGCTTTAAAAATTTAATTTGAACAAACTACAAATTGAGAAAATCAAAAATTCAAAAATCCCAAAATTCTCAGCCGGACCGGGCGCAACGCTAAGCCGTCATGTGTATTGCCTCGTAGCTTATTCAGCGCAATGTAACAAAAATAAATTAAAAGATGGATTAAAAAAAGAGCTCAAAAGCTTATTATAACACTACGATGTACCCTATCCGCGTCGCCTCAATGCCAATAACTCCGCGCCGTTTTGCGCTCGTCAAGGTAACGCTTTTATCTAATTCTAATGAAGGATTATGTTTTTGGAAAATTCGGTGAAGCGTAAGGATGAATATACAAACCAGTCAAACAGTGACAAAAAGTTAAGCCAGCACGGGGAACAGGGAAAAGCACCTGGACTAGTGGGGCAGCCAGCGCCCGGCATGTAACATGGGGCGGTCAAATGATCAACTTTTCGTCCTTTCGCAAACTCGACGCATTATGCAGATCAAAAACGCTAGTGTGTGATGTGAAAGTGGCAACTGTCAAATTCCAGCTCTTCGGCGTGTTCCTCGGCTCGATGGGGGCGGGCATGGCATGCGCAAGCGTCGGCGTCGGCCTCCTCGAGCGCTACGACCTCTACGTGCGGGAGAACGACGGCTTCGATGATGACGACCAGCGTGTAATTGGTTGAGATAAAATGTTTGCAGATTCTCGTGGCTTCGTTTGAATCCGCTGGCAGCGAGGGAGGAAATTACAAAGGTTGTTTCAATAAAAAACACCCCTCTAACTCGAAGGTAGAGGGAGCGCAGCGGGATGATAGCTACTTCATTTTCAAGCCCTTGAAGCGGCGGGTTTGCAGCCATCTTCATAACCTTTTTATTTGAGCGCCAAATTTTGCGGTCAGCTTCGTAAAGATTTTCGGATTTCATGGGAGCTAACTCAAGAACTTGCGCTCGTTTAACAAAAACCAGGGTGGAAAATGCTTGGAAATCCACTCTTTCAAGTTCAAGGGCTTTCGAATGGCACAACTTCCACCCTGATCCGACCCTTCTCCGTCGAGTCAGAGGCAGTTTGATTTATGGGACACCGCCACGCCGTGGACGCCCGTTGCCCAACGGATTCAGAAACGAAACGCCGTTTTTTAGCAAAAGGAAGCTGCAATGCATTGAGCGAGGCGGATACGGAATTCGCGCCGATCCCTTCAAACCGGATTTGCGGAGTACCCAAATGATTTCACGGATCGTATGGCCAGCGACCATTGTTACGCAAAATGTAAACGTGAGCAAAGAGTACCGGGAAGTAACAGGAATTTTTTGGGGCCACGTAACCAGTGGACCGAAATCTGGCTCGACTGCCTTCGTCTGGGTTTGGAGAGCCATCCCTCACACTGGATTACATGAAGTAGCCAAAGATTATTGGAAATCTTTTTCTATTGATTTGTGCGATATCGTAACTTTTATAAAAAATTTACCCAGGTGAGGCCAATATGTCCCTTTTCCAAAGTACTATTTGGGCAAAAATCTTTCGGAATTTTTTTGATCAAGGAATGCAAAAACGGACTTGTTGTGTGAATTGGTGAAGAGATACCGCTACTTTCTCTAATAGAAACCGTTGCATGAAAATTGTTAAAATTTGAGATTTTTGAAAAATTTTCACTGAGGTCATAATTATGTCCAGCAGTGTAGGTATTCTGTGCCCCCTAGAAAAGGCGTCCGGCTCCCAGGTTCGTCCGAAAAATGCCTATCTGCGCCCACTAAGTTTTTTATTGCATAACTGGAATATTGCATCTCGGAACCCCGTCGAAATTAGTTTAAATTTCAAGCTATAAAAACTGCATATGACAACTAGTGCCCACCCCCCGCCACGTACCCCGCCGATCACCCATGGGGAAGAAGGCCACGCCGCGGACGAAGGGTTCTGGCGGCAAGGACAAGAGGTCGGCCGATTCCAAGGACAAGAAGCCTAGGGCCAAGAAGTCTTCGACTTCAACGGACACCTTGCATGGTGGGCCCAAGACTTGTGTCACCCGCACCCGGAGCATCTCGAACACCTCGGTGATGGGCGAAAACCAGCAGCTCGTTACGGACTTTGTGAAGGCGACGCTGGACAAGACGCCGGAAATGCTTCGAGAGGAGTTTGCGAAACATAAGAGGTTCGTGACACGATCGTGACGGTAGGGAGAGCCATTTGGACCGGGATCTCACAAAAACCTAATTAGTATAGTTTGTATACCCGAAGTAGATTCCCGCAGTTCTACAGCTAATGATGGTACCCCCTATCCCAAAAAAGTTTGCCCGAGCGTCTAGGTGCGAAAAAACCGGAAAAAAAACGAAAAATCGCGGAATCGTCCATGCAAAATCTACACAACACCCTTTTTTATACATGCCTTCGCCGAATACGGAGCTTTTTTCAGAGCCGCGGATAAGGACAAGACCGTCGCCTTCCTAAATAACCAACCGAAGAACCGCTACAAAGATGTCCCGTGTCTCGACAATGATCGTGTTCTGCTACAAGGCGGCGACAGCGACTATATCCATGCCAACTACGTCTCGACGCCAAAGGATCAGAGGCGATTCATCTGCTGTCAGGCGCCTATCAAAGATACTCTGGCCGACCATTGGAAGTAGGGTTATTTTCGTCTAAACCGCGCTCTAAATTCCCCCCCCCCCCCCCAGCGGGGGGGGCTCAAGGGGTGGTTTTTTTTTTTTTTGGGTTTTTTTGCCCCCCCATAAGAGGGGGGAAAAAAAAAAAAAAAAAAAAATTTTAAATTAAAAAAACAAAAAAAAAAAAAAAAAAAAAAAAACCCCCCCAGGGGGGGGGGGGGCCGCTACCCTTTAGGATGATTGTTCAACAAGACGTCGAAAGCATCCTCATGCTGTGCAACTACATCGAGGGACCGATCGAGAAGTGCGCTGCATACTTTCCCACCAAGAAAGAACCCGAGATGACCTTTGGGCCTTTCACTATCAAGCTGATCAAATTGGAAAAGGTGATCTGGTGATGGCTTTCGTGATCCATGTTTATACAGTTGAAACTGCCGGACTGCGAGACGTCGGCAAAAATCATGGCGTCGAGTTTGGAGGTGAAGCAGGATGGTGTGAAGGTGAAGGACGTCAAGCATTATCACTGGGTCGATTGGCCGGACCGCGGAGTGCCACCGATTGATCAGGCTCCTATCCGCCTGTTGAACCTGATCACGACCACAACGTCAGTTATCTGCGGACCATGCCCGGACGATTTATCTAGGGGGTGTCCAAATAATTGACCCATCTACTTTTTACACTGAAAGCTCTGGAAAGGCGAGAAAACGAACCTTTTAGTTTTTTTGAAATTATGAATTCGATTTTCCGGATTGTTTAAGGGGATCAGGAAGGTCCATGCAAGTCTGGGACTCATCTACAATTCTCAAAAAGCCAACCGGAAATGCTATGCACAAATGTGTCCCAGGGATTATCACTGTCACCCATTTTTTGAAGACATCCGGTATTTTGCAGTAAGCCCATTCTCGTCCATTGTTCGGCGGGCGTCGGCCGCACTGGAGCGGTCGTCCTGGTGCAGTACGCGCTCGAATCTATCGAGAAGGGGCAGCCTGTTCAACAAATGGACACGCTGATGCTGAAGGTGCGCGAACAGCGGGCCAACTCTGTGCAAAATGACGCGCAGTACGTCTACGTTCATATGCTCCTTCTCAACTATTTCCAGAAGGTACGTTTCATCGAGTGGAATCGTATCTGCTTTAGGAGGGCCTAATCGTCGAGCCCGAGCTTCAGAATAAATTCAAGGACACTTTCACTCCAGCTTACAACAAATTCGCAAAAGCAGCTGAGGTCAAGCTGTCCGCTCCGGGTAGAAGCCTAAGTCGATGATGTATTTCCGATTTTTCAGCCAAGAAGTAGCACGGGGCAACTGCAACAGCATCCGCGCTCAACTCGTCACGAAAAAATAAACTCTTTCTTTACAATCTTCTGGCTTAGTACTTCGTTTTATATATACTTTTAAGCGTTTGGATGTAAATAAACAGCTCATCATCGCGATGATACCGTACGTAAGACAAAGATTCAGTCCGCTACATTAGGCGGGAATAAAAAGCAAGTCTGATACAAATTCTGAGCTGCCCGGATTGGCATTTTGTCCTTTTGTTCAGGATTCGAAGTAAACGTTTATTCGAAGATCTATCGAAATTTAGCCAAAAGAGACTAACAGTTATACAGAAAAGGGATCACAAGTTCAGTATGGTGCAAAGGCCCAATTTTGAAGAATCGGCATATTATTTGCTGTGTCCACGCCAATTCAAAGACAGTAACGTTCAAGTATATCGAGAAAATACCGCCATCAAGTGCCAGGTTGATCAGATTTGAGAAGATTGTGGCTTCTTCTTGAGCGAGCTGTAGCTTTGGCTTCTCTCGGCGGTTTGTTTGACGGCCGGCACGGCGGCAGGCTTCTCGATCAGCCGCTGCGCCATTAGTTCCGCATAGGAAAGACGAGTACGGAATTCACCGGCAAGCCCATGCCTAAACAGACAATTAAAAAGCGATACCTCAACTCACTGAGCTAGCAGTTCTAATTTGAATGAGCGCAGGTTATGAGCACGATCTATTATGGTGACGGCGCCGAGGCGTGGGCACAGGATTAGCTTGACATCGTTGAAGAAATTGATCTGCATCGTCCCATTTGTAAGCTGCAACACGATGGCAGATCGAGTGCGAAACCAGCTCCGCAGGCATGGCAAACGAGCCAATTCGTCGCCGGCCTACAAAAAGTGAGATTGCAAGCCAACCAAGCTAAACAAACCCGAGGTGCAAATTTCTCGCCGGCCTTGAGAAGATGATCGTTCATGTAGTTGCGGAAATATTCGAGCAGGGTCCACTTCTTGTGAATGTGCTGGAGATCATCTTTTCCGACTTGGTAGTATTCCTCGTTGTCTCGTTCCACGTATTGCAGATTTAGGCCGGCTGCGTCAAGGATAAGACGAGAATTATCGTTGAACAGGACGCCAACCTGAACCAAACATTTAGCAACATCTGACAAGATACCGAGTTGTCCGAAAGTTGATATCCTATGCCGTATTTGTCGGAATAATCGACCCATTTGCTGATCCAGAAGACTGGGATGCATTCAGGGCACTCGGCCGGATCTTCGTTTACGAGAACTTCCCTAAAACCGAAAAAAAGTAATCAGAACATTTTGAAAAATGCTCAATTTTGTCCAAAATATTACCTTGTCGGAGCCTTAAGGATGGCTGAATGAATCATGCTGTACAGCTCTTGAGCATAGCAATCTTTCGGCTCGCATGGAGGCTTGACATCCGCCCTATGCACAACGCTCTCGCGTGAAGTCAGTTGCCGAGGCTCGCATGGAGCGTCTCGCGTTCTCTTCGCCGTCTTTGTCACATCCGACACCTACGAGAAACAAACACATGAATGCTGCCAAAAGCTATACCGGCTTGTTGTATTTCGGCGCCAAGGTCAAGCATGACACGGGCAGGCTTGTAGGCGTATATTCCAAGAAGAACGCGTACTAAATAAAATGATCTTGAAGACCAAAAATCTCAAACCTTCTTCACATCCGAAATCTTGGGTCTTTGCGATGGCACCGCCCTTAGAAGGTCATCAATAAGCTTCCTTCCCGCCGCATTAAAGCCAGTCGGAAACCTGTAGGTGTTCGAGCGGATCCGTTCGTAGGTCTCGCGGAGAGATCTTGTCTCGAAGGGCGGATTGCCCACGAGAAATGTGTAGATAATGCAACCCAAGGCCCAGACGTCGACTTCCAAACCATGCCCAGCCTTGTCGAGTACTTCGGCTAAAAGAAAGTTGCATGTATGAAGCATCTAGTACCTACGAGCAATATAATTCGGCGTCCCGCAAAGAGTCCTTTTCCTGTCATCATCTTGTGACATTTTAGTCGCCAACCCAAAGTCCCCAATTTTCGCCTGCATATCGTCGTTGAGAAAGATGTTCCCCAGCTTCAAGTCTCGATGGATGATCATCTTCGCATGCAGGTAGTCGATGCCGTCGATGATTTGGAGGGCGAAAAATCGCGTCTCGGGCTCCGTAATGGCGCCGCGTCGCTTGTGCAATTCCATCAATGACCGGCGAGCGCATAATTCAAGCAGTATATACCTAAAGAATTGTCAGATACGAAAGCTAATTTCCTACACATTCGCAGCGTCCTCGAAGTATTCGTGAAGCCGAACAATGTGGGGATGGTTGAGCTCACGATGAATGGAAATTTCTTGAGCGAGCTGAAGCAAGAAAATAATAAAAAATTGATCAATACCTTGGCCTTCTCGGACGGCTTGCCGAGCATGCTTTTGCAAACGATCTTGCCAGCATATGCCCGTTTGCTGGGGTGGATCAGCTCATAGCACCTCGCGAATCCTCCTTTGCCCAAGAAGCGACCCTTTGTAAAGACATTGCCATGGCCATCATTGACGCGATCGGGGACCTCCGGCAACAATTTGTCCTTGGTTCTTCGATCCGTCATGCTAAAACAAATTTGACTGGACCACAATTTTGAGAAGACAGGGCAATGGAATAAAAACTTATCAACAGGACGCTTCGAAACGAATTTAAATGACCCGCGAATTTATAGATCGGCTTGTGACGAGTCCACCCCATTACTCATAAACTCATAAATCCATAAGTCGTAGTCTCAATACTAATAATTTTTCGAATATGGGATACTCGCTAATGATCAGTTCAACAAAGTAAGGTCTTTTTTCGCGTATTATCCAAAAGTGTCAAAAAATGTAGAAAATTTACGAACTTAACCTTTTCGACGATTTTTGCCCATTTTCATTTTCGAACGTCTACGATCAAAAACACATAATTTTTCGAAAGCCTGGATGATCAAAAATGTGGGGACCATGACATTTCCGCCAGCGACATTTCAGCCAATTTGAGGCCAAAAACACAGAAAACTTTCCAAATTAAAGATTTTCTTTGTGTTTTTGGCATTAATAAATTCAATCAAGGTAATTACATGCTAGTAGAGAAGAAATTACGTTGCGGGAGGGTTGTTTTGGGCAACATATCGCGTTTTACCTTTCAGGGAAAATCCGATTTTGAAAAAAGCCATCATACGTTGTTATTTCTTCTGTAATCTGAATAGATCGCGAGAAAAAATAGTTAGGATTGTTAACGATGAAACAGCGCATTTTAAGATTTTGGCGTTGGGGAATTGTCGTTGGCGGAAATGTCATGGTCCCAAAATGTGAGCCCGTCCAGATAGCTGCGGGACCCGCGTCATTTGGTGTAGCGCGGAACGGAAGTTCGGGAGCTCGGATTCTTCCGCAGATCCCCGTCCAGGGACGTGAAAAAGCCACTGATTGACAGCATTTGATATTTTAATTCCAGAAATAAAATAGTATTTCCAATTTTTCGTTCGCTTTTCTGTTCGATTTGCCAGATTTTATCTATTTTCTTTGACCAAAATTTCCCTTTTCAGCGACTATTGCGATGGCTGCTCGGTACCTGAAGCCGATGGACGGGCGAGGCCATCAGCATTCAGTGGAGTCGATGAGCAGCCGCTCGGAGACTGAGGAGCCCTCGGGCCACAAGAACACCTTCACCGAGGATGACACTTCCATGCTCAGCCAACACTCTGAATATGTCACCGAGCTGCTCGACGAACGTGCCCGTCTCGGCAAACCGGAGCAACCCTTCAAGCATCTGCCGCGCCTTATCGAGGCCGGTGAGTAAATTCTGGCGTAATTTTGCGGCGCGTTATTTATCAACCTTATTTATCGTCTTTTGTTTCAGAGATCAACCGCTTTTTGGGGAGCCTGACTACGGAGAGCAGCCGCACCGAAAAACTGCCCAAGCGCATCATGCTCCAGGAGAAGTTGATCGTGCCCGTCGACAAGTACCCCAAGTATAACTTCGTCAGCCGTATCCTTGGCCCTCGCGGAATGACTGCCAGACAGCTCGAGCAAGAAACCGGGTGCAAAATTATGGTCCGCGGACGTGGTCAGAGCACGGTATCTTTCCTTTTTTACGACATGAATTTTTCCAGGAACCGCTGAACGTGATTGTCCAATGTGAGGACTACGAAGATGTGTGCAGGAAGAAGCTGGAGTACGCGATCGATAAGGTCAACGTTCTACTGAACCCTCCGGTAGATAGTTCTGCCATAACTTATTCCATCTTTTTTAGCCTGAGGGCAAAGATGAGCTGAAGCGTAAGCAGCTGATTGACCTCTCCATCATCAACGGCACATACCGCCCGACGGTGGCCACGAAACCTCACTCGGGTAAGCCCTTTTTTCGGTGTCGAATAATCTGTCATTCGTAGGCTCTCACAATCGTAGCCATCTCTCCAGCCCAGCGGACAGCTATCACTACAGTCCTCGCGGAAGACTTGAGCGCGAGCCACCATTGCTCGACCTCCAGAAACTGCTCAATTTGCTTTCGCCGAAATCTACCAATGGGCAAAGGTGAATTTATTTGTGCCAATTTCAACCAGCTTAGGCCGATGTTCGACTTCCCGGACCCGCCTTCACCCTTCGGCGGCATGTACACCAAAGACCTGTGTGGGCGGGACAAAATGGACAAGTTCATCAACTGGCTCTCATCGGCGCCAACTCCGTCAGCCACACCGCATTAGTCGCCAAGCAAAGGAAACTAATATTAATAATTCACCAATCCTGCAGGGAACTTACATCTCGACAACCCGCTCGATTAATTCTCATTAAGTCGTGGTGATATCTAATCGGTTTAATATTAGTTCTTCCCCCTTTGTGCTCTTTTGTGTTATTGAAGTTTTTCCGCTAGGCCTATGTGCCTTTGAGTTTTGTGAATTTTGTGCTAGCCCGCACCTCGACGCCATATGCGTGCTTGTTTTTTCTTTGCGGTAGAAATATAATAAATTTTTTGCACTTGAATTGAATAGCACACGTATTCTAAATAACATGGCATCTCAGCCCGGTTCGTATATGACGAATTCGGGTGAGCCCGTTGGTTGTTATAACCATGAATTAGCTTGCAACATGTTTTTCTTTATAGCTTGAAGCTCATGCGTATAATGGGGGCGGTGGTGTCTTTCTTCCGATTGCCACCGTTCTTCGACATTCTGACATCCTCAACTGCGTGGTGACCAACGCGATTCTCGCCTTCTTTATTGCCTTAACGATGTCTAACCAGAATTTTGCAGATGCAATGAAGTGCATCGTTCCCGCTGGGGTTCCAAGTAGCATTTGGTTTATCATCCAATCTGGTTTTCAGCAATGTGGGAAGAATTCTGGAACCAGCAATGCTTCCTCTCCAGTAGATACGCAGGTGTCAGGGATCGAGCGCGGCCCTACACGGATCTTATGGGCCACAGCCACGTTCCTCTACTCGTCCGAAATTTCCGGGTATGTCCGATTTCTACCGTTCCCATCATTCTGTCGGTTTACTAGATTCCATATTGTCTGATCGTCCAACTGATGCTGTTTACGGTGCCCAAGTTTGCCTGGACCACCTTCGGATTTTCGGCTGATGGAGGTTAATAATTTTTTTAGAAGTTTTGATAAATAGTGCTTAGTGGATAAGGTCGTCTCGATAATCCCTCAGACGCGTTGCCTCAAAGATTTGGCCGGCGAAGAGCGGTCCCACGAGATAGATGGAATCTGTGAATTCTTTCTGAACGTTACTGGGCGCAATTCGAAAAGATGCGTTCGGATTGGATTCGAACCAATTAATTGTTTAGGTTCCATGTTTTACATGGTCGACTAGCACTGTTCGTCTAGGTGTGCCAGAAGTGGCTCCAAGTTTTCAACATATTTGTTCAGTTCTACCTCTGCCAATGGATCATCGGGAACTGGTCCGTGGGATGGGGATTTGAGGTATCTGGTTGTGATTCGTTCAAATTTTCTTTCAGTTGTTCGAAGAAGTAGTAAAGAAGAAACTCTGATGTTTACCCGCGCCGTCTTCTGCATTATGCCTTCGGAGACATACAAGTGCGCTTGCGCAGGAATGTCTGATGCCGGCTAGCTACATCTACGAGAAAGTCTACCTGTTCCTCTACGTTTGGTTGCTCATCCTGTTCGCCCTCACGCTGTTCATGACCATGCACTACAGCCTTTTCTTGACATCACGCGCCTATCGGATGTATTGCGCCTCCAAATTTTTACCGTTGGACTTGCTCTAGTTATTACGGGATCTGATCTACACGCCTGCAACCATGGTGATGGCCTGGCTGCTTTACGAAACAGCCAAGTGCGCATCTCATCGCCATCTGATCAACTGTTTGAGTATTTCGTCAATACTGCACTGATGGTTTTTCGAATGCCATATTTTGGGTCCATATTTTTCGAATGCCTTTGGGTATTATGAATTCGTCTTGCTTGGATTCCCATCAATACACTTGGATTTCCAGGCGCTGATTCTTGTCGCAGCACTTGGCTTCACACACGGACCCTCTGCCGCGCTGCGCGCCGCCCCAGAAGCCGACGTCTTGACCGAGCGATTCGACTACCTCATACAAGAATTTTCGACATGATACTTTTACGTTTTTAATTAGCTTGATGTCACGGTGGTTTTTAATAAATCGTGCGAGATAGGCAGACAAGGATACCCTCCATCGCACCATATTTTTCGAAAGACACGGGCAAATGCGGAGATTTTGATTGATTTCGGTGATTTCATTTGAAAAAAACTTGAAAAAAGTAAAAATCAATCGTCGCAACGTGGCAATACAATTGACGGAAAGGGACGGCGTTCTTCCGCGTACTCCGGGATACGAGCCAAGATTTTTACTTATGGACGATTTTTTCGCGAAGCGATTTTCCATCGCTCGCTTTTTTGCATTGGACATTTCTTTTGTTTCCTTAGTTTTGAACCCGTTTCGTGCATTTCGCCTATCACGTGCAATCTGCAATTTTTCACCGGATTCGTCCCCCGAAACATTCCCGCCTTGTCTTCTAGGATTTTAGGACTATTGGTACGAGTCAAATTGCAAGAAAAACGAAAACTAACTAAAATGGCTCGAAACTTTTTTTTCCGGATAACATTTTGCTTGTTTTGAAATCAGCGCAAAAACTCCTTAGTTTGTACGCCGATCCCCGGCCGCCTGTTTTCGATTCTTCTGCTAACACCGGGCGTACATGATATTTCGTACTTCACTTTGCCATACCTTGTTTCCCAGAGTGCCCCCTTTGAACCGTGTTTTTTAGGTTCAACATTGCGAAGCAATGTCTGGAAAGACAGAATGGCGCGTCGGAGATATGGTGCTGGCCCGCTGGTCGGACGGTCTCTGGTACCCGGCCAAAATTGACAAGATCAGCCAAGAGGACAACAAGGATTACTATAACGTCCACTTCCCGGTACAAGTTCTATCCTCTTCAAAATGTTTTTATTATTTTAGGGATGGGGCAAGCGATACGACGATGTCTTCAGCGAAGAACAAGTAGCAGACTCCTGGAAGCCCTACACGCGGGAGGCGGCAGATGAAGCCCGCGAGGCAGTGCGCCTCGCTAAAGCGCTGGAGCAAAAGAAAAAACGCAGCAAGAGCCTGGTGAGTGTTTCAGCGTTTTACTGCCCTGTTTCCTCATATGGGGGTTTTGTCACGCGTTAAAACCTGTACTTTTAGGGCTCGAAATCAATCACTCGCGCTAGGGGAAAGTCAGTCACACCAAGGAGCAAAGTGACCAACTCGGAAGGTTTGTATTTTCTTGTCATTATATTCTCTTCCTTCTAGTCCGAAGCAACCCTCCCAAGCGCAGCGAGGCCGTTGTGGTCAAGGTTAAAGAAGAGCAGCAGTCCGAGCCGGAGGAGCTAAAACCGGTAACTTCTTTTTCTTACCGTCGTGCTGTTGTATTGTTTTAATTTCGGAAAGGTCATAACTCGTTTTATTACTTTGCAGTTCGCCATGGAGCTCCGCTTCCCGAAAGCGCTGGGCCAGATCCTCGTTGATGATCATGATCTGGTATTGGAAGATATTTGTCAGTACGCTGTTTTGGTTTTGCAGGTCGATCGCCGAGGCCAGCTGCCCACGTATCCCGCAAAACATCCAGTCGACGAGATTCTGAAAGAGGTATGCCCGATTGTTTTTCAAACTTTCATTTTTAGTACTTATCTTCTATCGGCAAACTGCGTGACGGCGTGTTGGAGCGGGAGAAGCCGGTGCTCGGTGAGGACGAGGATCTAGTGGAGCCACTCGTCTACTTGCGCTTCTTTTTCGACTGTTGCCTCGGGTATGATTTTGCTATATTATGTAACCTTGTCTTTAGCACTTCCTTGCTCTACAAGACCGAGCGTTCGCACTACGATGCTCTGCACCTAAAAGATCCGCTGGACCCAAGTGAGAACTATATAAATATTGAAAATGCTTTGTTTTCAGAATACAATGCCTCCCAGGACGCACTTCCGTCCAAATCGTATGGCCTGCCGCATCTCCTCAGGCTCCTGGCGTTCATGTCGAGGAAGTACCAAGAGATCCCTATGTCCCAGGGCGAGATTGAGAGAATTGCTCGGTGGGTTTCATTCCTTATATGTTAGCCTCGGCAGGTTATCCAGTTCTAATTTGTATTTTTAGTAGCCACCAGGGCTTCTTGGACTGGTTGGAGACGAAGGAGGGCGATTACTTCGACCGTAGCGCCTACTTTGTGCCGCTGGATGAGAACGTGAAGCGCATCAAAACTGAGCCTGAAGAGTATTAAACATTCAATGAATCTAAGATTATCGTTGGTATCCGTGTAGCTTCGGCCATTCATTCCATGGCAGCTTTATTTGCATTTATTGTTGTTAATCCGTTGTTCGTCTTTTCCTTTATTTCACGTTCATAAAGTATTTGCATTTTGAAACATTGCTACTCAAGCCTCATCTGAAGCTCGCGGAATATTTTCCTTTTTTTGCCGGTTTTTCTAGCATTGAACGTGCAGTACTTTGGTACTTTCCCTCCCGCTGGCATAATGGGTGACGCTGCATTGCTGGACGAATCTAAACAACTAATCTATGTGGGTATTCCATTCGATCCACCTATTTTTTTGGCAGAATTTCAAGTATGTAAGGTATCACTAATTGACTTGAACTGTTCAGGAGAACAATCGTCTCCGGAGCCGCCTCCATGACATAGAGGAAGTTCTTCAGCAAAACGACCAAAACTACAACGAACTAGACAACAAGCACAAAGTGGCCCTCGAGGAAAATAGGCAACTGGAGAAGAAAGTAATAATTTTTAGTCTATTTATCTTTTGTTTAGCTCGACCAAGAGAGGAAGGAACACTTGTTTTCACTCGAATCAGCAAATCAACTACGGGATGATGAGAAGCAAAAATTCGAACGCGAATTAGCGGTTGAAATCCATCATTTATTACGACTATATTCGTGTTTTTAGAAGCTCCGCCAAGAAAACGAGCAGATAAAGGCGGCCACAGTCGAAGTGTCATTTGAGGAAAACTCACCAAACACCAATATGGGGGTGCGTTTGGCTTATTCTAGTCATGACGGCTTATTGCAGGCATCATTTGTAACCGAAGATGAACAGTCGGGCCGTTCATACGCCGAATACCTGGAGCTGCAAACTGTGAACGTACTTGTCCGAGATCGCTGCTAACAGCTATTTTTAGGCTGATCTGAACTCGCGTTGCCTGGAAGCGGAGGAGCTAATCGTTAATTTGAAGGCGGAACTTCGGACGTGTGAAGAGCAACTACAAGCCCTACAGGCGGCGCATGATGACAAGTTGTTCAAGATGAATACGCTGAATATCGAGTTGGAGGCGGGTTTCTAGAAACATTTGCTTTTGCGATATTCATCCTGCTGTTAAAATTGTTTTTTAGAAGCTGAAGGAAGAAAAAGAAGAGCTCACGTCTTCACAGGCAGCCAGCAGCGCCTGCAGTTACTTCGACCCAGCCGGCGGCGATTCTATTTTTTCCGAGGTATCATCATATCCCCGTATTCTACTCTGCTTCTCCAGCTTACCAACGACCACAGCCACCTCGAGCAGACGGTCCGAAGTTTGCAGGAACAACTGGTGGAGACCTGTCAAGAAAATACCAAGCTAAAAGCCGAGGTACTTTATTTGCGGTTTTATGCCTGATTTGGATTTGGACTACCTGACTTTTCTAGTGCGAAGAGGTGTTGCGGCTTCGCGATGAGAGTACAACGACCCTCTTACCAAAGACAGGGTAAGCGTCTATCTATGTTCTTCAGCAATTCTGGCATTTAGTGACGACAACTCGAGCCTGACCGTCGTCGCTGCGCCCATCGGCGGGACTTACGTCGGCGGCATGTTCGGAGTGTGAGAGACTTTATAAGGGTCTTGTTAGTGTTGCTCGAGACATTCACCGGAAAACTGGTCGAAAACAATATTTAGCTGATTTAACTAGGTTTTTAAATGGTAGAACATATAGCAAATTTGTGGTGAAAAATTAGCGCAATTGGGTGCAATATTTGGGACGCAAGTGTGCTATTAGGTCTTTCTAGGCGCTTCGATGCAACCAGCCTGACTATAATCCTTGAATTTCAGGGCCGTCGGTATGCTACTCGTGTTCGCCTTCCTGCTCTACTGCTTGTGCCTCCGCCCGGTCCGGTTCGTCATCGACGCCGTTCATTTGAACAGCCTCTACAACAAACACCAACTGATCTAATGCTTCGTGGGCTCCCCCGCTGTCTCGACAAGGCCCCCAAGCTCCATTTTATTCGTGATTTTTATTGCATTGAACTCGTTTCAGCGCTCTATTTTCTCTCCAATTAGCTCGCACCACCTATCTGTACGCCCTATTTTGTGCTTTTGCGATGTGACGGCGATGTCTTATTTTACGGGTAACTAATGATGCCCTGTGGTGATAAGGATAAACTTTAATCCAGCTAAATTATGAGAGCTAGCTCGGCGGTGATAGCTGATGGCCAGGGATAGTTTTTGGTCAGTTGTGCTCAGGCCGTAGGAGGGGGCGGGGCAGGGGGGCCTCCCCCCGAAATCGGTCGAGGTCCGAAAAGTTGATAAGGCGGGACCCTTATGATTTTTACAAAAATTTTTCTGCCTGCGGTGCGGTTTGTGACTGTTTTTAAAGGGGCTACGAAATGCCAAAAATTGAGTGACACCCCGAAAATCGGAGCCCTGTACGTCGGAGGCCTCTGTACACCTAGGGACGCGGGAAGCTCGCAGATTTGAAATTGCCTGTTGTCACCTCGAATTCACGTTCTCGGTTGTTTCTGGGCCAAATTTGATGATTAAAACACCAAAGCTATTTAAAATTGTGTGAGGATTTCAAAAATGGGGCTCAGAATGCGCGAATTATAGTGTTTTCACAAAGAAACCGGGCGAAAACAGTTTCGCGCAAAAATCGAAAGAGTGAGGGCTCTCGTTCCGCAGCGCCCGCTGGCAATTTGCCAGAAATCAAAGAGGTCGGCCCAAAAGGGCTTTGATTTGGCAGTTCGGAGCCCCTTTAAGGCAGGTTTACTTCGAGAAAGCCTTTTTTTCCAAAATTTTTCGCCTGCGGCGCTGGTTTTTCATTAGTGCATTAATTGTCTATAAAATACAAAAGTCACGGAAGCAACCAAAAACTTCTTTATTCACGGCCGCGCGGAAGAGAACGGCACATTTCGAGAGGGCGGGCAATCACAAGTAATTAATGGAGCAGGAAGAGCGGCTAATTGGTGCTGGCTTGGCAGGTCTGCGCTTATTCGGCGTTTCTCCCGGAGATGGACGTCGGTTTGCCCATCATAGAGGTCTTCGACGAGGCCCCGGCGCCGCCCAATTTGCTGTACGACGACTGGCCCTTCAGCCGCGTCGCCTTCTTGGCCTTCCTCGCCGACTGTCGTCCTAAAGTAGAGGATCAAAATGGAAGCTTTGTGTAATCCTGGCAAGGCACGTTTTCAGATGTGTGGCAAGCAACACCGGTCTTTTGAAATATCTGCTATTGATTTCAGATGCTGACCGCCTCCTCCTGACTGGCGACGGCCTTTCGCAACGGGTTGATGTTGATGTAGTTGTCCTCCTCTTCGCCCTCCTCCTGTTCGGCCGAGACATTTTCACGGGAGGCCTTGCGCTTCAGCTGCTTGCCCTGGCTCTTCTTCCCCGACTTCCTCTTGATTTGCAGGGATATTTTGGCGGAAGGCCCATCTTCCTCTTTTTGTTCACCTGCGACTCCTCCTCCTCGTCCTCCTCGTCCTCGGTCTGCTCGCGGCTCTGGTTGCCCTTCTTCTTCTTCGACTTCTTCTTAGTGGCTAAAGCGATATGGGTTAAATTTTTTAACCTAGCGAACTGCTAATAGCTACTTTAATTTGGACCAGATATGTATAAAGTTCAAATTTAGCGGAGTACTAATTACTAAATCACTAAATTCCGCTATTGTACTCGTTTTTAATGATCAAGAAACGACCTCAAGATTGGATTAGGTTAGTGGGTACTTTAAAGGGATGCCGAAGAGGAGCCGCCGGCCGCCCAAGGACAGCATAGCGTAACAACAAGGAAAACTTCACATGATAAGGATCTACTATATATAAATTTCTCTGGTCCGTGCTAGAGTGAGGGACGCCTAGGCTTGCCTAGGCTTCCTCGGGCTTTTTTAATTTGCATCTAGGCTGAGCCTGGGCTATGCAAAATACGCCTGACCTCTAATTAGTCAGGCTTTATCTGGAAATTTTATGTAGTCGTAGAATATTCGAAGTTTTGCCGAACAAATAAGGAATTCTTTTAAACTTCCGGTGGGTCGAACAGCTGTACTGGGTCCAAGAATATTCTACAAAGTTAGGTTACTGTTTTTGACAAACCTAACGGCACGATACGCTAATAGCACGCGGATACATAAAAGCCAAGAGTCGGTTCGAACGGGCGGGAGATGCAATTGCCTCTTCTGGCATCTTGCCTATATTTTCCCCACCTTCGGCATCCATATAATTTGTTATTGCGTCAAAGCTACCAAGGTTTTAGATGCAGTAACCAGACTAACATGTTTTTACGCATTGCATAAAAAGCCTGCCTAAATCCTTGGGCTTCCGCCAGGCGTCGGCAGGCGCGGAAATGCAATTCGGCCCAAGAAAGCCTGTAATTTTCCACATCGAGACTCGTTTCCTATTCCCCTTATATTCCCATTTCTATTTTCTTCGATGTCGGGAAATTTGGTAGGTAACCTTATTATCTTCGCGCGTAACTGACTGTTTCGCAGTCCTTTGCCCCTTTAACCGAACTTTACAGAGCATCCCAGAGATTATGGAAAAACTGAGCCGCGAATGGTCGAAGCTGTCGGAAGCGGAACTGCGGGAGAATGACGCCCGAAATGACGCCCGGGGCCAGCAGATGTGCCACTTTTTGCGAAGGACCAGAGCGTACTCAAGACACCAACAGCAGGAGAACGCCGTTCTGGACTACCTCAAGGATCATCAGAGGTTGACGGACGCCGATTGCGCGGTGCCCCTCGCTCTCTTTCCGGTAGTGATTAGTTACAACACAGAGTACCCGATTTCGGTTATTAGTATTTGGGTTTTCCTTGTCATTTTTCCTAAATCATCTTTCCGGTTCTTTCGCATTAACGGGGGGGGGACCAATTTTTTTTGGCCTAGAAATGTCTGGTCACTTCATAACAAGTGTTTTAATAGTGGTTTTGGTAATAAATAACTATATTTCAGCTAGAAAAACTATCCAAAAAACTTAAAAAGTCGCAATTTGGTCAAAATCGGCTATTTTTGGTCGAAAAATCGATATTTTTTATATTTTTAATGAATAATTTTAATAAACATTCTTGCACCTAGAAGAAATTTGGACTATCGGGATCATGGGAGGGACGGAATAAATAATTAGCTTCCGCTTTGGTATGATCGGGCCTCAAAGCACAAGGGCTTGTTTTCAATTTAGCGCCTTTAGCCTTGGCTGTGTCAAGCTATTCTTACCTAATCTATATGTTGCAGAAAGCCGTCCAGCCGAACGTCAACATCGCCCAGGTGCCGGCCGGGTTCATGCGCGTCGTGGAGCAGGCGGAAAGGCGCTTGACCCAATACAAGGGCGATGAAGATGTGGACGATGTAGGAGTTTCACCTGAGGATTTTTCTTTGCGGGGGGTGATTCGCAGCCCTTATGACCGTGGCGAAGTCGAATCTGCCCACGTTTTTTGCAGGCTTCCACGGTGTATCTCCGGGATATCAAGACCGCCAAGGAGAAGCACGTCGAGTTCGCTGTGGTGAATCGATTGAAGGTGGAGAAAGAGATCGAGCGTCTGGTAGCTTTTTGCCTCTCCTCATGAAGGTTAACATCAAAGTCAGTCCATGTGTGCGTTTAGATGACGATGCTCGACTCCGAGCACGCCAAGAACGAGACGAAGATGGAGAGCCTCCTCAAGACCGCCCGCACGGCCACCCACGCCACCAAGGCCGAGTTCCAGGAGAAGACACGCGTCGATCCGGAGCCGATGGTAGCTTAATTTTCGGGAACTTTGATTATCCATGCACAACCGAGGGGACACAAAAATTTCTCCGCCAAGGTTACGCAACGCTCCGCTTCCGTGACTTGGCTTTCAGCTAGGCTTGGGCTTATCTTCACTAAACCTAAGCCTAGCGTAAGTCGCGGCTTAGACCTAAACTGAAACGACTTGAATTAGCTTTAATTGGCCCTAGGGGCTCGAGGAACCGTCATTTGAGGGTTTACTTTCTATAGGCTTCACTTAGATTAAACCTGGCTTAGACTTGGTTGTTAATGAAGCTAAGCTCAGACTGGCTCTCTAGGCCTGGCTTAGCCTATCGGTAAGCCTAGAAGGTAAAAAAGTTTGGCGCGCCTTGGAACCTTGGAACCTTGGACCAGAGCCCCCCCCGTAGTTGCATTAGCACCTGATCATCCTGCCGATTGCCAATTTATACCTCAATTTTAGTGTGAACTGGTCATCAGGCGCATCAAGCCGCACGTCTTGGTCCAGGTCCAGGGCGCCAACGACGACGGCGACGACACGGTCACCGCGGACAACCAACAGACACCGAAAAAGGTGTAAACGTGCCTAGTTAGTGTGTAATAAACAATTTTATTGTACACCGGCGTTTAGAAGCAAGATATACATAAACCACCACACTCAAAGAAATTCACCAGTTTAGCATTTTTCAGTTTCAATCATCCAAGAATTTTAATTTCGAATGCAACCCTGCTTACTCTACAGTGTGTGTCAAAAAGATACACCTTCTTTCAGCTTCTTTTTTTACATGTACTTGAAATATCGCTAAAATAAATAACGCCATTTTTATAAGCGAGAGAAGAAAACAGGGCAAAAAAAGAAGTGTCAAAAAGATAGGGACAGACTTTACATATAATTACCATCAACTTCGCGCTTGCAGATTACATGCTAATTGGTGATCCGAAGTTTTTGGCTATGCAGATTCACGATTACTCCGAAAACCCAGAAGTCAGAAATGGCGATGACTTTGGAACCCTCATTAGCATGTAATTAGCGAAGAACCCATTTTCTGAAAACCGCGCTATCTTTGTTCAGCAATTATCGGCTTGGCTGGAATAGCCGATCTATAGAGAATTTTTTCTGGTTTGTTGTTGCGAAGGCAAACCAAAAATCAAACCAATATTTGGACCATAAATCCGCGATTTTGTGAAAATTCAATGAAAAACTCGATAACCATCTAGCCAGCGCAGTTTCGCAAATAACTAAAATGAGACCCTCACCTTTATTTTAACTTTTCTCGGGATTTACCTTACATAACAATTTCCCTGGTTGAAAAATACACGCCTTGAACAACTGTTTTCAGGCGGCTGCCCCCCGGACGCCAAAAACGCCTGGGAGGCCGATGAGCTATGAGGCACGTCCATTGATTGTATTCCTTCAACGAGCTTTTCAATTCAGAAAGGCCATTGTAATGCGTGCCCACCAGAGAAGGGTGAACAAAAAGTGTCTTATTACTACACGGCTCCTGCCTGTAAACCTTGCCTCAAATATTTCAGGTTGTGTAGACCTTTACGCATTTTCAAATTTGATTTGTAGCAAACTGTGCAGTCGGAACAACGAGGACAGCAAATGTCAAGGCCCTGGAAGCTGCTCGGAAAGAAGTGGGTTTGCCGACTAAAGAGTACACAAACAGCCCTTTCTAGGAAAGTGCAACAAATGCTCCTACATGGCCTGGACCGCATTGGGATATCAGAAGAAGGTGCCGCCAGCGCTCCAACTGACCGACTCTGACTCCGACTAAATGACCCGCACTGAACACAACATTGCAATAAAGCGCTCTTAAAGGGATACCCAAGGTTTTGGCGGCAAATATATAGTTATGGATTCCGGGCAGTACAAATGACGCGCGACTTTTGTGCGTAACTGGCTGCCCATTTCCGCACAGAATTCGGCAACCTTTCTCTCTTGTGGCGTCCCCATCCCGCCCAATGGCCTGCCACGATGGCCAAATGGATAGTATCCAGGCCTGCAAAACGGGGTGCCCGGGTTCGACCCCTCGCCCGCGGCAAGGTTTTTGCTTTTTTGAACCCCTAAAAGGTTGGGCATCCCTTTAAACATCAACTTTTACAACGAATGCGATACAGCAGGGTGGCACAAATAAAGTACATAAAAGTCTAAAAGAACATCTGAAGGTTTGGGGTTCGGGTTCGGGATTTTAGCCGTCTGCACAGCTAGCTGACACTAAAAGGCTTATTTCACTACAATTTATCGAACAATCTTTCTCGCAAAAACTGGAAAAATGTATATGAAATCCCGTACGCGGCAATACCTCTTTCCGGGATACCGGTGGCTTCTACGATGGCGATCCAACTTTTAGAAAAACGCGTCTGCTCAATAGATCGGATGCTTTGAATCAAATGTGTATTGGGGCGGCGCTTTTTGGCTGTGTAACAGCGAAAGCGAATTTTTATATTCTAAAATGGCAAAAGCGAGCCTAAACCAAGGTATTTACACATTTTCGGCGTTATTCTGGGCTAATAGGTTGACTTCTTTCGTTTTCAACATTGTGATGTCGTAGCGGTTGGCGAGGTCGGCCTGGAAACATCATAATGAGAACAACAAAATGATTGGAAAGAGGAAGATTGTATGTTATATTTGTCGGCATCGGAAATGTAGCCTACCAGATGGTTTAATTGGCTCTTCTTGTAGACGATCCCGTCCAGGTCGTCGCACATGGCCATATGGGCTCGTTCTGGGTCGCCAGCCACCAACACCGGGTCCTCATCCAACTGTAAATAGGCTCCGGTGAATTTATAAAATTAAATTTAGTAGCTTCAGGGTAGATCAGCCGTTTCTTTAGCGTTTTTAGGATTTTTTTCACGTAAAACTTTTGAAAAATCTTGAAAAAATACAAAACTATAGATTTTTCGAGCAAAAACACTAAATTTTACGAGCAAAACTTGCGATTTTTAAATAGTTTTTAATAGTTTCTAGACATTTTCCCTCTTGAAATATAACTACATTTAACTTTAGAGAGCATTAAAATATTTGCTATTCCCCCGGAAATACAAAATACCCGATTCTGCTTTCCACTAACCGGGTCCAGCCCTCTCGTCTCGTCCATAAACGTCTGCATCCGGCCCGCGAATCCGGGCGCAAAACAGTCGGGGTCGATGGCGATGAAGCATTGGCCCTAAAATAGTTGTCTCTTCAATGGTTTCTGCCACGATACCAAATCGGCGGTGGTGGCCGTCGTCTGCCACATGCGAATGTTTTTGCCAAAAGCGGCACCGCCGAGAATGCCACACAACACTTCCACCATCATGCATAGTCCAGTGCCTTTGTAGCCGCCTAAACATCGTATATTTCAAGGGGTTTGTTTCCGGTTACCTGTTTCCTCGCTGCCTCCAAGGGGTTGAAGCCCACCGCCATTCAGGACCACCTAAAATTGGGCTTTTCGGTGAATCGTGCCATTTTCGCTGTTGTTGATCAACTTTCACAAACCTGAATTTTTTCTTATAAGTCAAAATCTGGATAGTAACGTCAGAGCAAGTATTTTAATAGTGTTTTAGTAAAATTTTAGATATATGTCAGTGACAAAATATTTGGAAACGCGTCAAAATTTTCCATTTTCATCGGAAATTGACCATTTTTCGTCGAAATCTGTATTTTTTATACAAAAATCTATTCTGTTTTTAGACCATCAAAAATAAAAAACTAACGGCAAAAACGGTGAGAAACGTTACCTTTGGATTTGTCGTCTCGCGGCCCTTTTCATCGGTACCCCAGCAGGGTGGGATAGATACGCCGCCACGTTTGTCGACGACTTCGATCTAAACTAACCATTTAATGTTTAATTTTCTAAATGTCCAAATTTTAAAGTTTAATTCTTTTGAAAAACGCACTTTTCCATATGCTACTGTGGTGGAGGCCATATCCAAGAAGAAGTTGTCCCCATTTTGTGCTGGAGCGGCGAAGCAGATTGGGTTAGACCTAAAATATTTTTTAGGGTACAAAGCGGATTCCGTGTATTTGTCGGATTTTATTTTTATTAATCACCCACCCTAATGCTTTCTCACTGGATCTTGTAGGGAAAACGCATGGAGATGTGTTTGTGAAGGCCATACCCTGGAATCAACGATTTTTGATGATTACATTGAGTTTTAAGGCTAATAAAACCGAAACCAAATCAAAACAAAATCGAGAGAAGTTAGCTAGCTCACAATCATTCCCATCTCCATAGCGTATTGCGCGTACCAGCCGGCGATGCCGAAATGATTCGAGTTCCGGGCCACCACCATTCCAAGCCCGAATTCCTTTGCTTTCTAACAAAATTGGGTTTCAAATTTTAACTATGCGTTTTATCACTTACCTCAACAGCTAGCTGCATACAATAATTGCCAACGACGGCGCCCAGCAGATTATTTCCATCCACCCAAGCAGTGGCGCCTTTTTCATGGATTATTGTTGGAGTGCCTAAAAACATAACTTCAAGAGGGTTTTCTTAAAATATTTTTATGAATTTTTAGTAGTAAAAAAATGCTAAAAACGCTATGATAATCCACTTTAAAAAGCGCAAATTTCCCGGTTAACCCCTCCCCCCGGCAAACAGCCCAGTACCGGAAAGGTCAACATCACTCATCACCCCAAGCAAAAAATCAACCTTTCACGTGCCCCGACAACAATTTCACCACGCCAAGGGCAAGAAACCGGAAATGGTGTGCTATCATGGCTAGTAAATATCCCATATCATACCCACTAACTCGACAACAACATTTGGAAATTTTGCGCAAGTACCTTTACTTTCGTCAGTTTTTGAAAATTAAATTCGGCAAAAATGTTTACCATTTGGTGCGGTTGATCCGGTGGCAAGGTCCTGAACGTAGATTTGCAATCGGTTGACACCATGCGAATAGTGGCCCCTGGAAAGAGAGAGACGCCAGATTTCGGCACTACCAATGTGAAAATGTTATCATCTTGTAAATTTGAAAGGCTTTTATAAGCAAAAAAAATCTAAAAGATTCGGAAAGCCGTAATTCGAAATTTGCGAAATCGGTTTTTTTGGGGGGGGTTGGCGGGGGGTTTCTGCCCGCCAAAATTTTTTAAAAAACAGTAAGTATTTTAATAATTTCGCTAGTAACATGTCACTATATTTAAGGAAAACAATCGAAAAAGGCTTCAAAACTTTCGATCCGAAATTTTAGGCCAAAAATCGATGTTTTGTACAATTTTCGTTAAAAATTTGTCCGATTTTACGTTTAGGAATAGAAAAAAAATAGAAACTTCCTCTATAGTTTGGTTAATTCGACTCTCCCCGATAACGCCAAAACACCAAAATTTGAGGTGGATTTTGAAGTTTTCACGTTTAGGAATAGTAAAAAGGCGCCTAGAAACACGTCCACTAAGCAACCCCCCCTGGAAATGCCGAAAAAACGTTTAATAATATTAATAATACTTTAAAATGTTCCTATACCTGTAGTCCGAGCAGATCAAAATGTCAGCAAGCTGCTGGGCGTGCGCCGCGGAACAACCAACTTTTTCGAGAAGTCGAAGCACAAAGCTGCGCAACTAAAAGAATTTGGTATATCTAAAAAGCACTATTTCTCCGTTACAAAAAGCGCGGAAAAAAGAGCGTTCCGGCCGGTGCCCATTTGCCCCAATTGCATCCCGAGACATGGCAACCTTGAGAAGTCCAGTCGCCTTTTTGCAATTTCCGGCTACGGGCGCAGAAAACAGAAAGAAAAGTCAAGAAAAAGGGTTGCCCCCGATCCGGCAACTGCTATCATTCAAATACAGTCACAAAGACTACACCCACGAATATACCTCTTTTTTCGAGACGAGCACCTCCTCGGAGTCGTTGAAAATCTTCTTGATGATCATCCTAAAGGTGTTTGCGTGAAAGAGAGGCAGAAATTCGAGACATTGAGAAAAACGTTGAAAAAAATCGGATCGGAAAAACACCTACAACGCGGGGGCTACAACTTTCTCTTTAGTATCAATTTTTAATATAAGAGCAAAATTTTCTAAACTGTTTTTACTATTTCAAACGTAAAACTTACAAATTTAGTTTTCAAACATCCAAAAATCTAGATTTTCGACCGCACAACAAAATATAGTTCAGTGTCACTAAAAACACTTAAAATCGGTCCCCCGATCATGCAAAAAAACCGGCACGAGGCCATCGAATTCCTAGCTTTTTTTAAAGTTCCTTGGTTAGTTTTTCGACTTTAAATATGGTTGAAAGTTGTTAAAAATACGATAAAAAAACCTACACCCCCCCCCCCCGATAATCCAAAAGCACCGATATTTCTACATTTACTGGAAATTCGTGGAAAGAGCAAGCAGTTTCAAAAAGTGCATGGGAGGCGAGGCGGACCAGCCAGATCATCCGATCCACCGTATGAGCAAGAAGTTCGTTGATGGGTGGTAGTGGGTGGGAGGGGGGATAAACTGTCTTTTCCTCCTGCTCCTCGGAAATGGGGAGGAGGAGCCGGCGAGACATCACGTTGATTTTGGGGGATATGATGAAAGGGGTGCCCTGGGTTGGGTGAATCCAAAAATACGGTTCTCCTCTGGGAAACCCGGGGTTCCCGCAGCTCAAACTCCGCGTCGCCTGGATCTGTCCGGAAATGTCGCTGAAAATCGTATGGGGAGGGGATGGTGTACCAAGGTTGCAAACCCAAAAATAGCCCATCAAAAGGAGATCACAATGTTTTGGTTTTTTAAGATTTTTTTGATTTAACGTCGTTTCGAAGCATTACCAGGGGGTTTCAAAAAAAATTTTCGCTGGTTTTAAATCTGTCGAAGATAAATAAATAGCGAAAGTTTTTATTTTTTTTTCTATTCTTAGACAAAAACCACTCTTTCTTAAAAAAAATTAGACTTTTTAACAAAATTTCGAATTTTACAGGATTTTGACCGTTTTTTAGATAATTTTCCCCCTGAAACATAGTTAAATTTCACTAAAATCTATTAAAATACTTACTAAGATGTTGTTAGACATTTCTAGACTTCTAAAAAAGAGGAAAATCGGTTTCCCCGATCCCCCCCCCGGTAACGCAAAAGAACCGGATAAATATAAATTTTAATAATCACTATTTTCACGCAAAAACGTGCCAATGCGCAAACGATACTGATCTCTGGCCAATCGCTATCATTGATATCATTTTTCGCCGTTACCCAATTGATACCAAATGTGTTTTGGTTAAACTTGATCGTTTGGACAAGTGAACTCTTTCAGCATGTCGTGCAACTGGTAAAAGACGATTGAAAAGACAATATGTCGCCAGATTTAATCCGAAAACAGATAAATGCTGCTCCGGAAAAACGTCATTTCCAGGTGTCATCATCTCGTAAAGTACCATGCAATCCACCAAAAAACCCTTTATTCGGACAATTCATCACTGGAAATGTGGGGCGCATGCATTCATCACAACAGCCACCCAATATCAATCAATTCAACGGCAATGTTCAGCTACGGACACACCTTCGGCGTCTTCTCGTCAGCTGGAAAGTGAGGGATAAAAACATGGTTGGGTCGGGGTTAGTTACGTGGTGTCTTGACACAAAGCGAGCGGAAGGGAATGAGAAGGCTGTATGGTGGTATGTAGGACATCTCCCAGTTCTGAAAGATGGACCTCAACTTGAAGGAGTTCGGCTGGCTTACAAAATAGTCGAGGATGACTTTGGTGCGGTAGAATGACCATTCGTCGGTTGTCTGAAGTGAGATTTGGAGAGAGAGAGAGAGAGAGAGAGAGAGAGAGAGAGAGCAACACCCACCTTTGCCGCCTCGAGTCGAGCCACCAAAATCGAGAGCATAATGTTGAGAAGAGCCACGACGACGGTTAGAAAGAATGCCGACAAAATGATACGCGCCACGATCATCGTCATCACCGGGTTCACCGACTCCTGGTTTGGCCCTAGATTTTCCATCATTCCAGTTTCTATCAAAAATACGCACCTGCAAAGCCAGCATGAGCCTGCGAGTAGCCCTCGTCAATCAGCCCGAAGACGTTCCAGAAAAAGTTCGACATCGCCTCCGCCAAACTGAAAAATCCGCGCTCTTGCATTATCGGAAAGAGAATTTTTTCCTATAAGTCCAGAAAGCAGAACAGAAATTGTAGTAGTTTTTTAGCAGAATGTAACTATTTTAAAGTGGAAAACTATCTACAAAGCTAAGCAAATGCGGAAGTTTTGGTCCGAAAATCGATATTTTCGTCATTTTTATTACAATTTTGTAAAGTTTGAGGCCGATTACCTTTACTATTTACCCACTTTCCGGAGTAGACCTGGAAGCCATTGTTCTTGATGAATTCGCCCGACTTTTCCTCGTCGGTGGCCGAGAATGGATGTAGGATACCTACAATATGGTGCGATGCTATGGTGTTACACGCGAAAAACCCACCATAAAGACCGAGCCCGAAACCGGAGCAGAGCACGACGAGTAGCACCAAGAATTTCATGTAATCCGCGGCACATTGAGTGACGGCCACCTGGAGCGGGGAGAAAGTATATGTGAAATTTGGTGCTGGATCGTTATCGTGGGAGGAAAAGTTTAGAGGTAGATCAAAAAAAATTCTTTTCTTCCTTCGAACCGATTTTCATGGTTAGTAATACAGGATAAAACAAGGACGTACAATGAATTTCCCGAGACTGTGGCTGAGTTGCAGATGGTAGGCGAAGCGGACGACGAGCAACAACGTCAACATGGCTAGCGACGCTTCTGCCATCAGCACGTGGTCTGTTGGAGGCTAAAATCATTCAAATTCAATTGTTTGTTTTATTTTTTTATTATTAAAGTATCAAAAGCCCTTCTAAAAACGGCTTACTTATATTTGTCTACTCTACAAATAATTTCAACACGCACCAAATGACGGCGATTGACAAGCGACGGCAGGCCAGTCACCAATTCGATCTTCACGTAGCAGGAAGCCACGAAAAAGTTGACGCCGTTGATTCCGATCAGTGTCTCGATCCTAAATATACTTTCTAACGTAGGAAAAGCTCTTACCAATTCCACCAATCGCACATGAATGATTTCAAGCCACGCCGGACCAGTCGAGCCTGGAATGAGAATTGAGCCCGAGCCAACCACACTTCCTGGCAGATTTATCAAACTTTTCAAAGCCCAAAAATGAGAAACAACCTGTAAAAGAATCAGATTGGACAGGACGAAGACAAAGATGACAAAGTCGAGGTAGAACGTGTACTCGAGCCGGGTGTTTCGCATCGAAGATTTGTCCTCATCCCAGAACAGCCGAAATATGACGAGACCCAGGAAGACGACATGAGACGAGAGACCGGCCACCCAACTGAAAAATTTGTGGTGAAAATCAAGCGAATCAAGAAACAAGGTGATAACATTGTCAGATCGACCTAGTTTTTCAGTAGCAAATGCGGAAACATAATTACCCCATTTCTGCCACAAGATTCTACTTTCAAAACTAACCGGAAGAATGGAGTGTTCGAGTAGGCGAACCTCCGCGCGAGAATGAGTGGCACAACTGGAGCCAGAATAGACAGCAACAAGGCGGTAACTAAAAAGAAGTTGTTAAACGAAAGCATAGAGCCTACAGAATGGCAATTCGACTTGATGACTGGTTGTTCCAGGGCCTTTGGGAGTGTCGGGTCCACAGCGCCAGTGCTTCTGCATCCAAAACTTCACCCGGAAGTGGTTCACGCATTCGCTGATGTTCAGATCGACGAGTTGACGCGCCAACACCGGCTCTCCATCATGTTCACCCTAAAATCAAGTATTGTGAGGAATTGCTTATTGCAGATCATGACAATTGTCTCTTTTTATAGCTTTTTGCGTTGTTTTTCGACAGAACAAGCTATTACAACACCTTCTTGAGCAAAAATTAAAGAAAAAAAACGTCGAAACGGTTCAAAAAAATCAAAACTAATTTTTATTTTTTTAATGTTCCATCAGTTAAAGACGTACGAAAACGGGGTTAAAAAATACTAGTTATGACTTCTATAGCTCACTATCATCCCCGTCCCACGATCCAGCACCGAAACATCGCAAAAAAGGTAGAAATTCGAAAATCTCACATTTTTATACCATTTTCTATCTTCTATATTCTATATTCTATTTTCTAGTGATCAAAAACTAATCAAAATACGGTAAACGTCTGACTAAACCGTTTAAAAAGTAAACGAACCCGATCGGAAAACAATTCGACCGGATCGCGGCTCTCGTTCATCATCTCGACGACCTGCGACTTCATTTGCCCTTCCAACTTGACGTATGTGGTGCGGAAAACATTCTGCGTGCCGGCCGCCTTTTTTAGATCGGCCAGATGGGTGACGGCCGATTTGAACTGGTCTTCGAAGATCGCGTCCCGGGTCGCTTTGCTTGCCATCGCGCTGAAATGCTAGCATTCTACTTGGTTTGCACTCAATTATTGAAACTCGTTTTGGTTTTCATCCGAAAAATTTGGTGCTGGCCTGTTAGCGGGGGAGGGAAACAATGTTTCCCAGTAACCCTGAACGGCTTTCGAACAAAATATAACTAATTTCTACAGCATTTGTAAAGTTTTAGATCTGAAAAGCACATAAAAATCATCAAAATTTGTCTTTGGTTCGAAAACTATGAAAAATGGCCAAAAATAGGCAAAATTTTCCCTTTTTCAAGAATTCTCATTTTTTTATAAATTCCTGGCGACCAAAAACTAATAAAAAATAAAAAAGTTTGAAAATTATTTACACTACAAATAAAAATAGCTCCCCCCGCTAACGATCCAGCACCGACGAGTTTAGCCTTACTCGTAGAGAAACACGCGCTCTTTCTCATACTCCAGATCATGGGGGTGAAGCGTGCATGAGCTGCAATGACCTAAAAAAATATATCATTTAGGGCCCCCGTTACTTACATAGTGGATTGTGAGGGAAGTCGTGGTGCTTCGGCATCAGCTCATCGAGGAATGGCACGCATTTTGGAGCCGTAAAGAAGGATTCGAGCGGAAATTCTAATACAAATTTCCCCCGAAGCCATGGAGATTGGGCGGTTATGCAAAGTAGGTTATGGGTACTTGCGCGTTATCCGGGGGTGGGAGAAGGGTAATTTTTGTCTTTCTGCCCACTTATCAACCCGTTTAGTGTTTTTTTAAGTCTGTTAGTCGTTTGTGATTCTCAGGAATTAAATCGAAAATCTGTAAATAATTGAAATTCCAAAAATTTTTATTTTTGTTATTTTTCAAAAAATAAACATTTTCCACACTTTATAAATTTACGAATTTTCTATGACCATTGCTCGCTTAAAAAAAACAGGTAAAAAATAAAAATGGCGATACTGCTAGGACTAAATTCCTGCCAAATTTTGCCCCCCCCCCCCTCCCCGCCAACACAAAAGCACCATACTCTGTAAAATTATTCGTCGCTCATGAAATTCGATGAAGGTTTTATCGCACAAAATGTACACCGTAGTCACAAGACGTCAATTAAGTAAAAAAAATTCAAAAAGTGATCAAGATTTTTGCAAAAAAATGATGCAAGGCATTTGTATAGGTGAGCGAGCAAAAAAAAAGAAAAAAAAGAGTTGCATAGTGAAGGGCTGGCTGGGGGATCAGAGGGAATGAAGGGCACAATGTATTTAGAGGCTTAGCCGAGTGGCTCAGAATGCACAATTCGGAGGACGTGTAATTCACCTGAAAATCGTAGAAGTTCAACGGAGGGGAGAAACGATTGGCACCAAACAGAGCATCAGATATCGCGGCAAGGGGGGTTAAGGTATAATTGTAATATCGGGGAAAGGGATATTAACAACATATCAAGCACAAGGAAATCGGAATTTAATGCAAAAAGGTGTAAAAGTAAGTTAAATAAATCTGTCTACAAGGGGCGCCTATTTTGTGTAGACCCGAGGTGGTGAAGGTACTGGCAAACATTACGGTATGTAATCTTTTAAGTAGATTGTGCTGCGTCCGACGACTTCTGGGGGGTCACCCGATTCTCGAGAATAATTGGGGGCGGCAGGCCGGGTGGATTAGACACTGGGCGGCACGTAGTTGGGTTGCGAGGAGACGAAGTAGTCTTCGAAGTAGTGATGCAGGTATTCGAAGGTCGGTCGTCGTTCGGGGTTCTTGTCCCAGCACTTGAGCATCACCTGAAAACGGGTTATAGGAGGTTGAGGTGGAGACTCAAGGAACCGGACTTTCGAGATTTACTTTTGCCGAAATTGCAATACGAACTTTACCGTAAGGGAATCTCCCGACAAACTTAATTAAAATATCATGCCGAAAACTTGACATTTTGACTTTCGGCATCACGTATTTCGACATTTTCAAAAATAAACCAACGAATTCGTTTTTACATACCTCAGTGTAAATATTCTCCGGGCATCGTTGTGGCATCGGCATACGGTAGCCGAGTTCGACCTGTTCCACCACCTCGCGGTTGTGCATTCCTGGAAGGAATGATGTATAAAATATAGATTTTCATTTAAAATGGAAAAAATAACATTTTTATGGACAGGTTCCGAAAAGCGCCAATTCATAGTACTCCGAAAACTGCATCTAATCGAACACGCTAGCAAACATTCTTACCAGGATACGGCACTTGTCCTCTGGTGATGATCTCGTAGATGAGGATACCATACGACCAGGCATCGCTCTTCACCGTGAAATTGCCACAGGTGGCCGCCTCGGGAGCCGTCCATTTGATCGGGAATTTCGCGCCGGTGCGTGCTTCATAAATATCCTCTTCCATCAGCTTGCGCGCCAGGCCAAAGTCAGCAACCTGAACAAAAGGGGTCAATCAATCAATCAGTAAATCAAGATTCATATAAATCTAACTCGTTAATTAAAACAAGAAGGATTAATATATCGTCAGAAACGAACCTTGACTACCGGGACGCCAGAGATCTTTTCGCCAACCAAGACGTTTCTGGCCGCCAAGTCACGATGGACGAGCTTCCGCTCTTCGAGGTACATCATGCCATTGGCGATCTGAAAAATGTATGAGGTATTTTGCCATCAGAATGCCGAAAATTAATTTCAAAACTGCTAAAATATCACATTTTTCGGAATTTTCGACAGTGTCTAAAAGACAGCAAAAAAGCTTATGCATACCTGAGCAGCCATGTCCACGAGAGCTGGAATGCTCAATTGACGGCCCTTCTCGTCGCGCAAATAGTGCAATAGCGAGCCACCGCTCATGAATCTAGAAAAAACGATATTCAATCACTTTTGATGCCTTACTCAGTTATGATATAGAAGGGCTCTTCTCGTGTACACACCGCGTAGAGCTTCACGAGATTCGGATGGTCGCACTGCTTCATAATTGAAGCTTCGCTGAAAATAGGTTTTTTGAAAAAATGTAAAAATCGCACCCCAAGAAAGCGTCAGGGCTCATCGTGCCGGGCTTCATCGTCTTGATCGCCACCTCGACGATGCCACGCCATTTGCCGTACCAAACCTGGAATATTGATACTAGGCGATTCTCTTTTTCATAGAATCCATGTTTTCTAGTAAAAATAGTGTGTTTTTCAGGTTTCTAAATAGGTTGTTTCAGTTTAAATACGGCTACATTATAATCAAAAGAATAAAGACTATTAATATACTCGCTATTACCTTACTAGACATATCTAGACGCGCCGAAAAATTCGGAGATGCCAAAAATCCTACCTTATATAATTTTGACGCGTATGTGTGTGTGTGTGTGTGTGTGTGTGTGTGTGTGTGTGTGTGTGTGTGTGTGTGTGTGTGTGTGTGTGTGTGTGTGTGTGTGTGTGTGTGTGTGTGTGTGTGTGTGTGTGTGTGTGTGTGTGTGTGTGTGTGTGTGTGTGTGTGTGTGTGTGTGTGTGTGTGTGTGTGTGTGTGTGTGTGTGTGTGTGTGTGTGTGTGTGTGTGTGTGTGTGTGTGTGTGTGTGTGTGTGTGTGTGTGTGTGTGTGTGTGTGTGTGTGTGTGTGTGTGTGTGTGTGTGTGTGTGTGTGTGTGTGTGTGTGTGTGTGTGTGTGTGTGTGTGTGTGTGTGTGTGTGTGTGTGTGTGTGTGTGTGTGTGTGTGTGTGTGTGTGTGTGTGTGTGTGTGTGTGTGTGTGTGTGTGTGTGTGTGTGTGTGTGTGTGTGTGTGTGTGTGTGTGTGTGTGTGTGTGTGTGTGTGTGTGTGTGTGTGTGTGTGTGTGTGTGTGTGTGTGTGTGTGTGTGTGTGTGTGTGTGTGTGTGTGTGTGTGTGTGTGTGTGTGTGTGTGTGTGTGTGTGTGTGTGTGTGTGTGTGTGTGTGTGTGTGTGTGTGTGTGTGTGTGTGTGTGTGTGTGTGTGTGTGTGTGTGTGTGTGTGTGTGTGTGTGTGTGTGTGTGTGTGTGTGTGTGTGTGTGTGTGTGTGTGTGTGTGTGTGTGTGTGTGTGTGTGTGTGTGTGTGTGTGTGTGTGTGTGTGTGTGTGTGTGTGTGTGTGTGTGTGTGTGTGTGTGTGTGTGTGTGTGTGTGTGTGTGTGTGTGTGTGTGTGTGTGTGTGTGTGTGTGTGGATGTCACTTTCGAGGCCCGATTTGAGGGCCTTCCCGTGCATAAAATGCCCTAATTCTGCGTCACCCGGGGGAATCGACCCTTCTGTTTCCGATGGCGTTTTCAGAATTGCGATAAAATACAAGTTTACAAAGTTAAAGCCGGTTTTATTCATTTTTGGGGGTACCTGATAGGGCTAACTTGCATAATGCGAAAAATAGAAATTTCCTCATTCTTGCCAGTTGCACTCGCCCGTGTGGTCGGCGGAGGGGAAGGGTCCGAAGGACCCGAGTGATCGGAAAGTCAAATTTATCATGCAAAAACGCATTCCAGCGCCCAAGGCCCGCGAAGCGGGTTTTGGGCGCTGGTTTTTCTATAATTTATGAGCGCAGCTCGGCCCAGCAACGTAATAACGTAATAGTCTCTGAATTCATAGAATCAGTGGAAGAACCAAACACGGCTTACTTACCTCGCCGAAATTGCCGTCGCCCAGCTTGGTCTTGAGCTGCAACTGGTTCCGGGGGATTTCCCAGTTTTGCTGGGTGTCGTGCGAGAGATCCGGGCGGGTGGGGCGATTCTAGGGGCGGGGAAGGTGAGCGTACAGCAGAGACCGTCGCAGAGCTCTGAAAAAAATTTAATAAACCTTGTTATTTTATAAATTTTATATTTATCAATATGCGGTCATCGTACGGCTTACCAGAGTAGTATTCGACGAGTTCCCGCAACGTTCTGAAGGTGCGGCGTGTGGTGATGAAGAAGCCTTGATCGTGGTCGAGCCGCTTGATTTTGTAGTGCTTGACGGTGCCGGCTCCTCGTCCATCGTCCGAGTCACTGAAAAAAAATGGCATAAATCTTTTAAGGAGGTTTTTCAGCACGCTCTTTAAAAGCGTGTAAAAATCACCAAACATAAAAAATAAAACGTCACTTTCCGGCTAGTGTTCATAAAAACGCAGACAAAAAAGTACCGAATCGTTAACGCATATTCCCTGGTCTCGGCTTCACGCTCTCGGATCAAGAATGTTCCTAAAAAATCCAGGTTGTTACTTTTATGAAAACAAATTAAAAAAAAATATATTAATTTCTAAAACTTACCCTTAGGCAGATTTTGTGAAAGCACCAGCCGCTCAGCACGGTTCCTCGGTATCTTGCCGGCAAACCATCTAAAAACTTATCTTCCTTGAAATTGTTACAAAGCCCACTCTTCACTCTCAATCGTCTGCTGCTTGGCCACAAAATTTCGCGGGACGTATCCGGTCTGCATGCTGCGCGCGTGCTGCACGTACCACCAGTCGACATTGCTAAAAAGCTTATTTTGGTAAAATAACATTTAAATCAACGCGTAAATTAACCTAAATTAAAGGTTCGGTCGTAAAAACAAACCTTTGATCCAGTAGGTACATGATGTCGCCCTTTTTGAAAGAGAGATCGCCTTCGGCACGCGAATCATAGGCGTAGAGGGCTATCAGGGATTCTTTGCCTGAAATTTAATTTCAATTAGTAGAATACTCTGTTAACAATCAATTTAATTGGTAATATAACGAACGAAAGCGTGCGTATATTTTCCCAAAAAATTTTTTCTCGTTTCCTCGGTGCATATTTTTTCGTTTTTAAAGGGCTGCCGACGGCAGGTGTCGATCCCCCCCATCAACAAATTGGCAAGTAGCCAACAGGGCAGAGAGCGCGCCCAGGGGGGAGGCGCAGAGACATTTTCTTTCCCGCGCGTAATCGATTGCATTATGCCGCCCCTATCCCTTTAAAGCTTATTTGGGCCTTTGTGGCTGGTAAAATTGTCAGATGAGCTGAAAAACTATCGAATAAAGTGGCTTTTAGGAAAAATACGGGATTCTTTATTCACCTTGCATTCCGCTGTCCTGTATCGTCCCATGGCGACTTCGATGGTCTTCCTGTTGCTGCACAAACTGTGCATTTCCTGGCCCGGGATGTACCACGAAAGACTGCGGGTTTGGGTTAAAGTTCGAGCCTAAAAACCATTAGAAAAATCAGAAGTAAAAAAACACCTGTGGTATCGTTGAAATGTGGCTCGGGCGAGCGCGAGCCCCGTGAGAAGCAGAGGCCCATTTTCTAAAAAGTGGTTTTAAAAAGGGAATTAATTGGTAAAAATCGATTACTTCGAATCCTCGAAGTTGCCCCAATTATTAGTCCGAATTCCGGGACCTTTTTTGCAAAGTGTTGGTAACAAACGATCGACTTAGCGTGGCGCGGGCTCTGTGTCTGAGAGGGAGGGGGAGACAGACAAACAGTTAAACTACACTAAAATCTATTAAAATACTTACTACGATGTTGTTAGACATTTCTTGACTTCTAAAAGATAGGAAAATCGGTTTCCCTGATACCCCGCCCCCCGGTAACGCAAAATAACCGGATAAATATCAATTTTAATAATCACTATTTTCACAAAGAAAACGTGCCAATGCGCAAACGATACTGATCTCTGGACAATCGTTATCATTGATATCATTTTTCGCCGTTACCCAATTGATACCAAATGTGTTTTGGTTAAACTTGATCGTTTGGACAAGGGAACTCTTTCAGCATGTCGTGCAACTGGTAAAAGATGATTGAAAAGACAATTTGTCGCCAGATTTACTCCGAAAACAGATAAATGCTCCTCCGGAAAAACGCCATTTCCACACTGCCTGTCAGGGCGCGCATGGGGGTGGGGGAGGGCGTGGCCTAGTGGTCTAAGGCGCCGGTCGCAACTCCAGGCAGAGGGTGCTGGTTCGGTTCCTCTGACCGACAGAAGCCCGTTCGGGTTTTGCACTTTTTTCCAAAAGGTACAGAAGGGGATCCAAAACCGATCTCTAGAGAAGCCCAAGCGGAAAATAAAAAGTTTTGCTATTTCCCGGGCTCTAAAGAAGAAATTGTCTCAGATGGTGCCGATTCGCTCAATAAAGGAATATCATAATAACAAAGACATGCACTGCCCAAATTAGCCACAATTCAATGATTTCGAGCCCCTTCATCCGTACAAAGCTGAAAACTTTGACTAGCTTCAGTTGTTCAATCATTAGGATCTCTCATTCAGCACCGTTTTTGCTTCCCAGGACCGCACAAGTACCCAATTTGACAGTACCGATTCTTTTCCGATGAATATCGGTGAAAAAACCCGGAAGAATGCGGCTAAACGCAAAGAAAAACGCGGCGCACAAAGCTTGTATTTTCGCAATTTTTCCGGCTTAAATCCTAGATAAATCCTTATTTTCACGCTAAATCACCCTTAAAACCCCTCCCATAATGTGCGCAAGAGCCTTCTCTATATTTCGTATCGGTGGACTCCCCACAACAACGTCGTTTTCAAAAGTTATAGGCATTTGAAGTTGAAAATTTCTGAGTTTTTTTTGGCCCCTTTCTTTGCCTCTCTCTCGAAAAATCATGGATCGGTAGGCAAGCATAGTGTGCGCGCGGGCATAGGAACGCTACGGAGCGCCCCCACCTCTCATGAGCGCATTTCTTAATAGCTGACAGCCAGTGGGACGCTGACTCCGGCTTGAAAGCGCCGGGTATTGATCGAATGTAGCCACCCCGGTCTCTCCTCGTTCCCTCGCAACCTCCCCGAATACACACCCATATCTCGGCAATACCACTTGTCTGCCTGTTATTTCCTACGGAATTAACAGAAAAGCTTTCTTGCCATTTTCGAAGTATTTGCTGATGGCTAAACCGGCTTTTACCCCGCGGAATACGCGAAATTTACCCGTGCCCTACCGGGTACCCGCTCTAGCCCAGCGACTGGTTTTGACTCAAACACTTACATTTCTTTGATTTCGATGCTTCTATTATAAGATCAACTATATACTGTATTTCGCTTGGAACCGCTGAAATTTGCTGAAGTAAAACACGAGGCAGAAAAAAAGGATAAAAATTCGCGCGAGAAAACTTTAATGACTTTACAATTTTATAAACTAGGCGCTAATGGCTTTGCTATAGTTTATATTCTATTGCGTATAAGCGAACAATACAACAAAAAAAACAAAGAATCCCCACGATAACGATCCAGAACCGTATTTTCAATTATTCTCCTAGCCTCCGATAATTCCGAAATACCCTATTCAGTGCCAATTCCATTCCGCAGTTAATCTGTAAATTTTCTGAACCAAGTTTCATTACAGGCAGATGAGCATTTCGAGCTCAAAACAGCCCCCTGACGGCGAAATGAACATCACACCACGTTCGCCCACCGGCGAAGAAGGCGTCCGACGGTAGTGAGTTGACTAACCGATTTCAGCCATCATTTGTTTAGCACTTCCGATGTGTGGAGGCACAATCTGCACAATGATGACCTCAAATTCGAGTGCCGATATTGTGGCGCAAAATTTCTGCGGGCCCACGGCACATCGGCATTCGGCAAGCATTTGGCCGCCGTGCATCAAATTCGAGTGGTAAGGGTTTTTTTTGATGAATTTGGGACAAATAATACTCCTATCGTTTTCAATTACCGTATTCGATAGAGCGTCGAAAAATCTACTAGGCGTTCTAAACCTAAAAAACTCCCTTAACTCTACAATCTAAAAAATCCTTCAGCTAAAAAACCACATCCGGGGACCTAATTTTTTTGTAAAAGAACGTCTCTATTACTGAAAAATAAATGCTTTAATGTTATTTGTAGTAAAAAGTAAGGATATTTTAAGCAAAATAAACTATCTACCAAACCTGAAATTTTGGTCGAAAACTATTTTTGTATTTTTAACAAAAATTTGTAAAGTTTTTACGTTTCGGAGTAGTAAAAGAACGGTATAGAACGCTTACCGTGTTTATATTAGAAAAATGGAGTCCTAAGGAAAACGGTTGCCGCTCCCCCCCCCACCCCGATAATACCAATGTACCTACAACTATTTTCTAACCCAGCTGAGCAACAAACGCCGTCCATCACCACCGACGTTGCTGAATGGCAAAAAAGCCAAGACTGAACCGGAAATGGACATCACTGACCTGATTGTTGATGAAGACGAGGAACCCTACGGCTCAAACTCAATCTCCCTAGCCTCATTTGTAGGCGATTTCCCTTGATGGCGTACATGATTACTTTCTAGCATAACGACAACCGAGCCGACGACGGACTCGACGAAATGCTGATGAGCGTCAGGGCGGCCATGACCAATATGGAGGGAATTGCCCACTATTTTACGCGAGACAAGGTTCAACAACATGAGGTGAGCGCTGTTGCTCGTTAATGGATGGAAAAGTTAATCTTTTTCTGACAATATTCCTCCTTCAGAACGCTCGTCTACGTCGGCGTGTCGCAGAGTTCGAGCTTGAAAATGCAACCCTGCGAAAGAAGATCATCATCGGACAACAGAATTATGGCGAGGAGCCGGCACCAAAAGTTACGATCCCAAAAGTAAGGCTAGCGAAGCTATCCGGAAAATCCTTTTTATTTTATTTTGATTTCCAACGTTTAGGAGACAAAACCATCGACTCCATTGCTCTGCGTAATGGAGAAGCAGCTCGAGGAGCTGAGCCAATCTCCGAGTTGCAGCACTGTCGCCGAAACAGAGTCGACGGAGCGGCACTTCTTCCCGTTGGCCAGGCCCGTACGAGGGGGGGCACCGGGGGCACGGTGCCCCCCCCCGAAATCGGGCGAGGTCCGAAAAGTTCATAAGGGGGGACCCTTATGATTTTTTTCATAAAAATTTTTCTGCCTGCGGCGCTATTTATTATTGTTTTTAAAACAATTTAAACTGCAATAAAACCTATTTTTCCAAAAATTTTCGCTTGCAGCACTAGTTTTTCGGGAATGTATCAGTTTTATTTGTAAACATTTTGCCTGCGAGACTTATTTTACATTATTGTAGGCTTAAATTAAAACTCTTCGTATATTTTTGACGCTTAAATCCCGATCAAAATGGCGAAAATAGCGAAACCTTTCAGAGGCAAAATCTATGGGGCGAGGCAAAACTTACCGGGGGAACCCTTAGGATTTTTCCTCAAAAATTTGGGTTTATCACTGTTTTGAAACGATTTTTACTTCTAGAAAACCCATTTTCCTAAAATTTTTTGCCTGCGGCGCCCGTTTTCATTAGTGCATCATTTTTGCTGAGCAAAAGTTCGCTTGCGCGCGCCGTTTCCGATGTGTTTTCACACGAATTTAAGCGTTTCCAACGCGGTTTTCTAAATTTTTTTTGGCCTGCGGCGCTGTTACTGTCGCTATTTTCGAATGTTTTGAAAGTGGCGACCGGGGGGGGAGGTCGCCAAAAATTTTTTGGGTGGGTGCCCCCGAAATCTCGGCTCCCGTACGGGCCTGCCGTTGGCCTATGATTTGTCAGCTGGCGAGGGCTGGCTGGATGCCGTATTTCCTTTTCGACGCTTTCATATGCTCCAAATTCTGGAGGTGAGTTTAATGGGAATTCATCGCCCTTGAAAATCTGTTCTTTCGCATTATCGGATGGGGCGGGGGTTATTCGGGGAAAAACATTTTTTCTATCCATTATTGCTAAGCGTTCAAACGTTACACATTGTTGTGAAAAAATTGTTCACTTAAATATGGTCACATTTTACTAAAAACGCTACTAAACAACTCACTAATACGTTTAGAGGAATTTTTTAGCTCGTACAAAATAATCCCCCCTCCCCCCCGATAATGCAAAAGCATCCTATGATCATCATCGGATTTAGAAAACCGAGACGGTTCGACTCCATTGTCTCGACAAAGCCAACCCTATCCGCTGGAGCCGAAAGAAGGAGATGCAAAAGGCTTCCACCGAAATGGTTCGCATGGTTAGCTTATTTTTGTCGTTGCGTCCATCAAAATGCTACTTTCAGATGGTTCCATCCCAAATTCTACCCGTATTAAACACCACCAATGATGATATCCTGCAAGCCATCGGGGAGCGGTAGGGTTGGAAAGCCGTGATTTTGTCACTAAAAGATATGCAGGGACATGATCAACGGCGGGGGACGGACCCCGATCACCATTCCGCCCGATTTGATAACCCAAGCTGCAGGTTGAATTTCGAAGGGAGCAGGTCAAAAATTATGTTGAATTTCGAAGGGAGCAGGTCAAAAATTATGTTGAATTTCGAAGGGAGCAGCCGCGACGTGGAGTCAAAAATTATGTTGAATTTCGAAGGGAGCAGGTCGAAAATTTTGTTGAATTTCGAAGGGAGCAGGTCAAAAATTATGTTGAATTTCGAAGGGAGCAGCCGCGACGTGGAGTCAAAAATTATGTTGAATTTCGAAGGGAGCAGGTCGAAAATTTTGTTGAATTTCGAAGGGAGCAGGTCAAAAATTATGTTGAATTTCGAAGGGAGCAGCCGCGACGTGGAGTCAAAAATTATGTTGAATTTCGAAGGGAGCAGGTCAAAAATTTTGTTGAATTTCGAAGGGAGCAGGTCAAAAATTATGTTGAATTTCGAAGGGAGCAGAGGGGTCAAAAATTATGTTGAATTTCGAAGGGAGCAGGTCAAAAATTATGTTGAATTTCGAAGGGAGCAGGTCAAAAATTATGTTGAATTTCGAAGGGAGCAGGTCAAAAATTATGTTGAATTTCGAAGGGAGCAGCGACGTGGAGTCAAAAATTATGTTGAATTTCGAAGGGAGCAGGGGAGTCAAAAATTATGTTGAATTTCGAAGGGAGCAGCCGCGACGTGGAGTCAAAAATTATGTTGAATTTCGAAGGGAGCAGGTCAAAAATTATGTTGAATTTCGAAGGGAGCAGCCGCGACGTGGAGTCAAAAATTATGTTGAATTTCGAAGGGAGCAGGTCAAAAATTATGTTGAATTTCGAAGGGAGCAGCCACGGGTCAAAAATTATGTTGAATTTCGAAGGGAGCAGCCGCGACGTGGAGTCAAAAATTATGTTGAATTTCGAAGGGAGCAGGTCAAAAATTATGTTGAATTTCGAAGGGAGCAGCCGCGACGTGGAGTCAAAAATTATGTTGAATTTCGAAGGGAGCAGGAGTCAAAAATTATGTTGAATTTCGAAGGGAGCAGCCGCGACGTGGAGTCAAAAATTATGTTGAATTTCGAAGGGAGCAGGTCAAAATTATGTTGAATTTCGAAGGGAGCAGCCGCGACGTGGAGTCAAAAATTATGTTGAATTTCGAAGGAGCAGGTCAAAAATTATGTTGAATTTCGAAGGGAGCAGCCGCGACGTGGAGTCAAAAATTATGTTGAATTTCGAAGGGAGCAGCCGCGAGTGGAGTCAAAAATTATGTTGAATTTCGAAGGGAGCAGCCGCGACGTGGAGTCAAAAATTATGTTGAATTTCGAAGGGAGCAGCCGCGACGTGGAGTCAAAAATTATGTTGAATTTCGAAGGGAGCAGCCGCGACGTGGAGTCAAAAATTATGTTGAATTTCGAAGGGAGCAGCCGCGACGTGGAGTCAAAATTATGTTGAATTTCGAAGGGAGCAGCCGCGACGTGGAGTCAAAAATTATGTTGAATTTCGAAGGGAGCAGCCACGACGTGGAGTCAAAAATTATGTTGAATTTCGAAGGGAGCAGCCAGTGGAGTCAAAAATTATGTTGAATTTCGAAGGGAGCAGCCGCGACGTGGAGTCAAAAATTATGTTGAATTTCGAAGGGAGCAGGTCAAAAATTATGTTGAATTTCGAAGGGAGCAGCCGCGACGTGGAGTCAAAAATTATGTTGAATTTCGAAGGGAGCAGGTCAAAAATTATGTTGAATTTCGAAGGGAGCAGCCGCGACGTGGAGTCAAAAATTATGTTGAATTTCGAAGGGAGCAGCCGCGACGTGGAGTCAAAAATTATGTTGAATTTCGAAGGGAGCAGCCGTGGGTCAAAAATTATGTTGAATTTCGAAGGGAGCAGCCGCGACGTGGAGTCAAAAATTATGTTGAATTTCGAAGGGAGCAGGTCAAAAATTATGTTGAATTTCGAAGGGAGCAGCCGCGACGTGGAGTCAAAAATTATGTTGAATTTCGAAGGGAGCAGGTCAAAAATTATGTTGAATTTCGAAGGGAGCAGGTCAAAATTATGTTGAATTTCGAAGGAGCAGCCGCGACGTGGAGTCAAAAATTATGTTGAATTTCGAAGGGAGCAGGTCAAAAATTATGTTGAATTTCGAAGGGAGCAGCCGCGACGTGGAGTCAAAAATTATGTTGAATTTCGAAGGGAGCAGCGCGGGTCAAAAATTATGTTGAATTTCGAAGGGAGCAGCCGCGACGTGGAGTCAAAAATTATGTTGAATTTCGAAGGGAGCAGGTCAAAAATTATGTTGAATTTCGAAGGGAGCAGGTCAAAAATTATGTTGAATTTCGAAGGGAGCAGCCGCGACGTGGAGTCAAAAATTATGTTGAATTTCGAAGGGAGCCGCACGGGTCAAAAATTATGTTGAATTTCGAAGGGAGCAGGTCAAAAATTATGTTGAATTTCGAAGGGAGCAAGTCAAAAATTATGTTGAATTTCGAAGGGAGCAGGTCAAAAATTATGTTGAATTTCGAAGGGAGCAGGTCAAAAATTATGTTGAATTTCGAAGGGAGCAGCCGCGACGTGGAGTCAAAAATTATGTTGAATTTCGAAGGGAGCAGGTCAAAAATTATGTTGAATTTCGAAGGAGCACCCGACGGGAGTCAAAAATTATGTTGAATTTCGAAGGGAGCAGCGACGTGGAGTCAAAATTATGTTGAATTTCGAAGGAGCAGGTCAAAAATTATGTTGAATTTCGAAGGGAGCAGGTCAAAAATTATGTTGAATTTCGAAGGGAGCAGCCGCGACGTGGAGTCAAAAATTATGTTGAATTTCGAAGGGAGCAGGTCAAAAATTATGTTGAATTTCGAAGGGAGCAGGTCAAAAATTATGTTGAATTTCGAAGGGAGCAGCGCGGGGCAAAAATTATGTTGAATTTCGAAGGGAGCAGGGGTCAAAAATTATGTTGAATTTCGAAGGGAGCAGGGAAGTCAAAAATTATGTTGAATTTCGAAGGGAGCAGCCGCGACGTGGGGTCAAAAATTATGTTGAATTTCGAAGGGAGCAGGTCAAAAATTATGTTGAATTTCGAAGGGAGCAGGTCAAAATTATGTTGAATTTCGAAGGAGCAGGTCAAAAATTATGTTGAATTTCGAAGGGAGCAGGGTGGAGTCAAAAATTATGTTGAATTTCGAAGGAGCAGCCGCGACGTGGAGTCAAAAATTATGTTGAATTTCGAAGGGAGCAGGTCAAAAATTATGTTGAATTTCGAAGGGAGCAGCCGCGACGTGGAGTCAAAAATTATGTTGAATTTCGAAGGGAGCAGGGCAAAAATTATGTTGAATTTCGAAGGGAGCAGCCGCGACGTGGAGTCAAAAATTATGTTGAATTTCGAAGGGAGCACGTGGAGTCAAAAATTATGTTGAATTTCGAAGGGAGCACGGGAGCAAAAATTATGTTGAATTTCGAAGGGAGCAGGGGGTCAAAAATTATGTTGAATTTCGAAGGGAGCAGCCGCGACGTGGAGTCAAAAATTATGTTGAATTTCGAAGGGAGCAGGTCAAAAATTATGTTGAATTTCGAAGGGAGCAGGTGAAAAATTATGTTGAATTTCGAAGGGAGCACCGCGACGTGGAGTCAAAAATTATGTTGAATTTCGAAGGGAGCAAGTCAAAAATTATGTTGAATTTCGAAGGGAGCAGGTCAAAAATTATGTTGAATTTCGAGGGAGCACCGCGACGTGGAGTCAAAAATTATGTTGAATTTCGAAGGGAGCAGGTCAAAAATTATGTTGAATTTCGAAGGGAGCAGGTCAAAAATTATGTTGAATTTCGAAGGGAGCAGGTCAAAAATTATGTTGAATTTCGAAGGGAGCAGCCGCGACGTGGAGTCAAAAATTATGTTGAATTTCGAAGGGAGCAGCCGCGACGTGGAGTCAAAAATTATGTTGAATTTCGAAGGGAGCAGGTCAAAAATTATGTTGAATTTCGAAGGGAGCAGCCGCGACGTGGAGTCAAAAATTATGTTGAATTTCGAAGGGAGCAGCCGCGACGTGGAGTCAAAAATTATGTTGAATTTCGAAGGGAGCAGGTCAAAAATTATGTTGAATTTCGAAGGGAGCAGCCGCGACGTGGAGTCAAAAATTATGTTGAATTTCGAAGGGAGCAGCCGCGACGTGGAGTCAAAAATTATGTTGAATTTCGAAGGGAGCAGCCGCGACGTGGAGTCAAAAATTATGTTGAATTTCGAAGGGAGCAGCGCGACGTGGAGTCAAAAATTATGTTGAATTTCGAAGGGAGCAGGTCAAAAATTATGTTGAATTTCGAAGGGAGCAGCCGCGACGTGGAGTCAAAAATTATGTTGAATTTCGAAGGGAGCAGGTCAAAAATTATGTTGAATTTCGAAGGGAGCAGACGGTGTCAAAAATTATGTTGAATTTCGAAGGAGCACCCGACGGGGTCAAAAATTATGTTGAATTTCGAAGGGAGCAGGAGTCAAAAATTATGTTGAATTTCGAAGGGAGCACGGGGTCAAAAATTATGTTGAATTTCGAAGGGAGCAGGGTCAAAAATTATGTTGAATTTCGAAGGGAGCAGGGACGTGGAGTCAAAAATTATGTTGAATTTCGAAGGGAGCAGGTCAAAAATTATGTTGAATTTCGAAGGGAGCAGGTCAAAAATTATGTTGAATTTCGAAGGGAGCAGGTCAAAAATTATGTTGAATTTCGAAGGGAGCAGGTCAAAAATTATGTTGAATTTCGAAGGGAGCAGCCGCGACGTGGAGTCAAAAATTATGTTGAATTTCGAAGGGAGCACGAGTGGAGTCAAAAATTATGTTGAATTTCGAAGGGAGCAACGTGGGTCAAAAATTATGTTGAATTTCGAAGGGAGCAGCCGCGACGTGGAGTCAAAAATTATGTTGAATTTCGAAGGGAGCAGGTCAAAAATTATGTTGAATTTCGAAGGGAGCAGCCGCGACGGGAGTCAAAAATTATGTTGAATTTCGAAGGAGCAGCCGCGACGTGGAGTCAAAAATTATGTTGAATTTCGAAGGGAGCAGGTCAAAAATTATGTTGAATT